TCTCAGCAACCATAAGAGTTACAAAGTCGGGTGGCATGTCTTTGAATAGGTTTTTGGGTATGCTCTTTCCGATTTTGCAATTTTTTTTTCAAAATTCCTACCCCTAAAGGGCGCACCCCTAAACTAGGGTGCAAAAAAAATTCTGATTTCGACGAAATTTGGTATCTGGGGGTTTTTTAACATGAAAATCACGAATCTGAAATTAGTTTTTGAAAATTCGAAAAAAAAAGTTCCACTGCAATTCTTGGCGGGACAACGAAAATAGAGATAATTCCACGAAATTTGTTGTGTACATACTAAACGAGTTAAGGAACAAAACTGTCGAACAGTTTTTTAAAATAACTTTTCAAACAAAAGTTATACTCATTTGAATGTTGGTCCTTCGGGTCGCGAAGTGTCCCAAGCCTACTAGTAAGCCATAATTTCGCATGTGTTGGTTGACAATGTCGCAAAAACAAAAGATTAACGGTTTGAGTCGATATTTTGTTATTTGGAATTAATTCGGTCATTAAATGATTAAAAAATTCGATGTATCGATTAAAACACCTACCAAGGTATCTTAAAGCGCTGATCGATTGTTTATTATCTTTTTTTTGTTCTTTTGGAAGTTATTTTTCAACCTAAGATTATGAAAATTTTTGATCATAGTGAAAAAGTATCATACGGAAAGTGATTTGACTTTTTCCCCTACCTTATTTAGATAATAAATAATCGATCAGCGCTTTAAGATACCTTGGTAGGTGTTTTAATCGATACATCGAATTTTTTAATCATTTAATGACCGAATTAATTCCAAATAACAAAATATCGACTCAAACCGTTAATCTTTTGTTTTTGCGACATTGTCAACCAACACATGCGAAATTATGGCTTACTAGTAGGCTTGGGACACTTCGCGACCCGAAGGACCAACATTCAAATGAGTATAACTTTTGTTTGAAAAGTTATTTTAAAAAACTGTTCGACAGTTTTGTTCCTTAACTCGTTTAGTATGTACACAACAAATTTCGTGGAATTATCTCTATTTTCGTTGTCCCGCCAAGAATTGCAGTGGAACTTTTTTTTTCGAATTTTCAAAAACTAATTTCAGATTCGTGATTTTCATGTTAAAAAACCCCCAGATACCAAATTTCGTCGAAATCAGAATTTTTTTTTGCACCCTAGTTTAGGGGTGCGCCCTTTAGGGGTAGGAATTTTGAAAAAAAAATTGCAAAATCGGAAAGAGCATACCCAAAAACCTATTCAAAGACATGCCACCCGACTTTGTAACTCTTATGGTTGCTGAGAAAAAAATTAAAGAAGAAATGCAGATTTCAACACTCTTTGGGGGGTGGCTCCCAAACGAAACACGTTGGACCCTCGGTTTATTTGGAAAAAGTGCTTGTTTTGATGCCCTCTACAACCCGATTTTTTTTTTTCGAACGGTCGTGTAACACCCTGTATATGGTTTTCCATATATATAAGTTTTCTCGTTTCTTTTTTTGACATAAATAATGAATGCTTTAGAAGCTGATGTCAAATTTGGTACCGAAAGAGGCCGTTTGGACGCATTGTAATTAATTTTTTGAAATAGATATATAAGAGACCGAAATAAGCAAGGAAGCTCAAATAAGTTGTGTTGTTTACCCAATTGCAATCGGTGCAAAGGACCAATTTTAAAAAAATTGCGTTTCACCATTTACCTACGCAGGTAGATACCAGAATTTCAATTTGATACTATAGTCCCTATTCAGATTGTATTATATCTAAAAACGAAAAATCACACTATAAAATAGCAAATCAGAAAACTTAATTCTGGTGAATTGTTTCAATATGATAAACATGAATTTGCTTCATAAGTTTACCGCGTCTTAAATGGTTTCCATCCCTCCGATCGCAGAGTTCAAATTCCCAGGACGACCGAAGCCGGGAAGTAAATGGTCCCCGGAAAATCGGTGCCGGGATGACTGTAGCCGGGAAGCGGAGGTATGCGGTTGTATTTTTACATATATTTATAGGTATATTCTACAAGTGTTCCGAGTTTACAATACAATACATTAAAGTTATTTAAGAAAACTGACCCAATACGTTAAAGCAATCTATTTTTTAAAGGGAAATCTGCTTTTTACAAATAATATTGCGCCTAAATAAATTTTCTATGATTCAAAGGAATTGTAAATACCTACATATTCTCCTTAAAAAATCTTTGAAGTAACAAAATTAGTATACAAATACAAACAAAAATGGATTGACCGAGTGACCTATCTCAAAGGGTATAAAAAATTAACAATTCTCATTCTAGTGCGGTGTAGTCATACTGGGCACTCCACTCCAGTGTAAAATGTTTGGGGGCCCCAGTCGGTGCAATAAGACACCTCTCGGGGGCAGACAATCAATTTTCTTTTGAAAGATAGCTGAAAAGTTTTTGTCACTGGTATCCTTTTATATACTAATGGGCGACAAAAAGTCCCTACTATATAGCATAAAATATGCTCTGATGTGTCGTGCTTTAATAAATCACGATTTAAATTTTCTTACTATTTGCCGTATACCTAATCGCACAGAGTGCACGTAACTTCTTCAAAGTTAATATGCCGCTTAGATCAGGTACAACTGTAAGGTCCGGTTGTACCAACGAAGTTCACGGATGTTGCAGTGATGTTAACGAAGATATGTTTAATAAAAGTATTGGTAGTGACATAACTGTCACATGCTAACATAAATGCCAACATTACATGAATCACTACTTACGAACATTACATCTCAGTCACATCAGATTGCGTACATGCCTTATAGTAGATTCAAACAGTTTACTTTACTCGTTTTGACATTCCCATAGGCACTATTATGGGTTATACTGGAAAAACTTAAGATGTGTTATATATTGAACTACATTAAAATGATAAATATTACAACCTAGGAAATCTTGTGTGTTAACACATGCCGTTTAAAATTGCCACAATAATTGGTTGCATAATCACACTGGGCACACTTTAAAGGTTTCGACGTGTTGTGTGTTAACAGATGTGTCCTTAAACCAGATTTAAAATTGGTTGCATAATCACACTGGAAACATTTTAGATCCTTGTAAGTCTTGTGTGATAACATATGACTTTTAAAATATGCACTACTATGTGTTACATAATCGCATTGGGCACACTTTAGATCTTTCGACATGTTGTGTGTCAATAAATGTGTTTTTAAATTAGGTTTGTAATTGGTTGCATAATCACACTGTGCACATTTGAGATCCTTAGAAGTCTTGTGTGTTAACAGATGTCGGTTAAAATGGCCACTATAATTGGTTGCATAATCACAATGGGCACATTTTAAATCCTTGCATGTCTTGGGTGACAACATATGACTTTTAAAATTTGCACTACTATGGGTGGCATAATCACACTGGGCACACTTTAAATCTTTAGACATGTTGTGTGTTAACAAATGTGTTTTTAGGCTAGATTTATAATTGGTTTCATAATTACACTGTGCACATTTAAGATTCTTAGAAGATTTGTGTGTTAACCGATGACGTTTAAAATGGAAACTATTATTGGTTGCATAATCACACTGCATACATTTTAGATCCTTAGAAGTCTTGTGTGTTAACAGATGACGCTTAAAACAGCCACCATTATTGTTTGCATAATCACATTGTGCACATTTCAGTTCCTTAGAGATCTTGTGCGTTAATAGATGACGTTTAAAATGACCGCTATATTTGGTTGCAAAAACACACTGGTCACACTTTAAATCTTTAGACGCTTTGTGTTTTAATAGATGCACCTTTAAATGAGATTTATAGTTAGTTGTGTGGTCACACATAGCACATTTTAAACCTTTAGATGTCTTATGTGTAAACATATGCGTCTTTAAATTAGATTTATAATTAGTTACGAAGTCACACTGCAAACACTTAAAATTGTTTAAAATTTGTTGAGGTTTATTACGAGAAACATTTTCTTGATATCTGTGAAATATGTTTCCACAAAAGTCCTCTTCATTGATCTTAACCCCAGTAGATTCCTGCTTTATAGTTGGGCAGACATCATTAGTAAGAAAAACCTTTTCGTCAAGGTGTGTATTTATTTCTTCTTCTTGTTTCAGTTCAACTTTAACAACTGCAGACATTTCACGTATACGAGGAAAGTCTGGTCTAAACAAATTTTACTCCAACATGGGAAATCTTTTATCTTAAATTGTACGGTTTATATATGTTTATACCAGAAAAATTTCTGTTTATAGGCCAAAATTTACCTCCGCCGCCGTTCAGGCTGTTCAGTGGCGTGACCAATATCTTTTGTCTAGATAAAAATATTGCCAGTGGCGGTTAGGAATGGGCGATGATGACATGACGACGGCAATAACCGTCTTTTTTATAGCTCAATCATGGCCGACCGATAATCCCCCCCCCCCCTTAGAGTGTATTCTAATTCCTATAGGAAGTCCCTATGTCTACTTCTACATGAATTATCACTGTATAAATGTTTGACGGGAGCGCAATTGGTAACCGTTCTTTAACGGGACTTTAATAAGCATGTACCTCAAACAATAAAAATTGTGGCGGGCTCTGTGACGTAATAAGCCCGACCAATCAGCTCCTACAACCATTCAGATGACATAACGAATTGGCAATATTGAGAATGCCATTTGTAACTTGCGTCACCTGTCACAGGCACTTGTCGTTCACTTTCGCGATGCAGTTAATTCCTCTTAAAACGTCAAATCCGACAAACGTCAGACCCTCGCACAAGGTTGCCGGCTCACTTCTACGTGATTGGTTGTAGGTTTGTGACGTATTTAGCGTTTCAAATTCCGACTGAAAACAACTTTTCAATAATTTATTTTGGGTTTATTTTACTCGCAAATAAAAATTGAGGACACACGGGTCTCTTTTTATTTTTAATATACTTTGTAGATAAGAAATAAAAAATGAAGCCGGAATGCTCCCATTACTTAAACAAATAATTAAATAAATCATATAATAAATAATAATGAAAAATAACAATACTATACATCGAAGACTTGCTAGTGCCAGTTACAGTCTCTATATGAAATGATCTGATTTTGTAATATTTTTTTATAGTAATAATAATAATTATTTTTATATATATAAAATTATAATTATTATTCAAAAAAAGAAAGATTTATTCCAAAACATTCAAATGAAGGGCGAAGTTCAGTACCGCGGCATTGCCGAAGTCTGCTCTCCAAATTAACCCTGTAGGGTCATATATAACCCCTGCGAAACATGAGTCCGCAACGACTACTCGTGTCCCAAAAAATATAGGGTTAAATGTAAAAGAATAATAACTTTAGAGTGACCACTTTAAATCTTCCTTACCAAGATGCAGAAATTTTGTACGGCAAACATTTTAGAATATACATTTCCCAAAAATTGTGGAGGTAACATACCATGTTCCTGATACTTGTTTGAAATTATCAGTTGTTACCTTAAATTTATGGAGTAAAAATGTCATTTATGTACCTTTAGAAAAACTTTGTTAAAATCATACTCAAACAATGAATTACTTTTGTATTTGAGCACTGTAACATTTATTTAAATCACTGTACCCTCTCAGTAGATTCAATCATTTGAAGTTTTTGAAGGAACATTTAAGTGGTTGAGTAACCCTCTTGGCACATTTTTAATTCAGTCGTGTGCATTAACAGATTATTTACAAAATAGGCACTATAGGTTGCATATCCGCGCACTTTAATCTTTTAGTCGTCTTGCATGATCACGATGCACACATTAATTCTTAGAAGACCTGTGTGTTAGCAGATGACGTTTAAAATTGCTACCAATATTGGTTGCATAATCACACTGAGTACACTTTAAATCTTTAGACGTTTTATGTGTTAATAGATGCTTCTTTAAATTAGATTTAAAAGTAGTTGCGTATTCACATATGGGACATTTCAAACCTTTAGATTTCTTGTGTATTAAGAGATGTGTTTTTAAACTAGACTTATAATTGGATGCATAATTACAATGAGCACATTTCAAATTCTTAGAAGTCATATGTGTTTGCAGATGTCGTTTTAAACTAGATTTATAATTGGATGCATAATCACACTGAGCACATTGTAAATCTTTAGAAGTGTTGTGTATTAAGAGATGTTTGCTTAGGCTATATTTATAATTGGTTGTATAATCACACTGAGTACACTTTAAATCCTTAGAAATTTTATGTGTTAACAGATGCATCTTTAAATTAAATTTGTAATTAGTTACATAGTCACACCAGGCACATTTTAAATCTTTAGATGTCTTGTGTGTTAACACATGTGATTTTAAACTAAATTTATAATTGGTTGCATAATTACACTGAGCACATTTCAAATTCTTATATGTCTTATGTGTTAACAGATGTCTTTTTAAACTAAATTTATATTTGGTTGTATAATTACACTGAGCACATTTTAGATTCTTACAGGATTTGTGTGTTAACAGATGACGTTTAAAATTGCCAACAATATTGGTTGCATAATCACACTGAGCACATTTTAGATCCTTGGAAGTCTTGTGTGCTAACATATGATTTCGAAAATATCCACCATTGTTGGTGGCATAATCACACTGGTCACAACTTAAACCTTTATATGTGTTGTGTGTTAACAGATGTCTTTTTAAACTAAATTTATAATTGGTTGCATAATCACACTGCGCACACTTAAAAAAATTCAACGTGTTGTGTGTTAACAGATGTTTTTGCAGATTAGATTTATACTTTGTTACCCAATCACAGTGCGCACATTTCAGATCGCATGTCTTATGTAATAACAGATGACGTTTAAAAGATGCATTATTACGAGTTGTATAATGACACTGGGCACACTTGAATTCTCTAGACGTGTTGTGTATTAACAGATGTGTTTTTAAACCAGATTTACAATTGGTTGCATAATTACAATGGGCACATTTTAAACCTTTAGATATCTTGTGCGTTAACATATGCGACTTTAAATTATATTTAGAATTGCTTGTGAAGTCACACTGCACACACCTACAATTTTTTGGGTTTTGCCGAGGTTTCTTATGTGAAACATTTTCTTGATATCTGTGCAAGATGTTTCCAGAAAAGCCCTCTTCATGTTGCAATTCATTATGAGTATCTTTAGAATAATTCCCACTGATCGTAATCTCATTCGATTCCTGTTTTATAGTAGTGGAGACATCATTAGTAAGAACAACCTTTTCATCGAGGTATGTATTTATTTCTTCTTCTTGTTTCAATTCAACTTTAATAATTGCAGACATCATAGAAGTTATACTCAAAAGAGACTTCAATACACCTGAATTATGCAATAGGATTGTTCAGGCATAAGACTAGTTAGAAAAGTTTGGTTTTAAGAAAGAGAATAATAATTACACAGATACTTACCTACTTACTTCTATAGTACCTACTATCGCCTCTTTTATGGGTTCTGCGTATGCACGAAAAAACAATTAATCGAATCTTCGAATCGAGTCATAAGCTATAACTCATAGCCTTTTCCCTATTGCAAAGCGCATGTTCAATGCTACGGTACAGTACGAGTAAAAATAACTAATAAGAGAAAAATATCGGTGGTGGGAAATAGCATAATACGCGACGGAAGTCGTCATCATATTACTTCCTTTGCGCTGGTCAGTTATGTCAACTTGACTTATCATAACAGAATAGACGATTTCAGGTAAATGGTATGTTATAAAAGTGAAACGCATAAATTTTATTTTATAGTATGTACAATGTACATAATTAGATATAACGGGCGATCAAAAATGAGTTGCTGTCGAGTCGCCTTTGGAAGTTCAAGTTAAGTACGATTTCCCATGTAAACAAAAATTCCAAAGGTGACTCGACAGCAACTCATTTTTGATCGCATGGTACTTATAATGCATTTAGTGAAATAGATTTTTAATGGAACAATTTTTCAATCAATCACTGGAGTAAAATAAATATGTATTTAAATTACGGTAGCTAATTAGAAGTATGAACAGTAGAGACCCTTTCAGTGTAGGCGCCCTAACACACGGCTTGATGAGCCTAGAAAAGACGCTGAAAACAATTCAACCATTTGTCTAACGTAGTATAGATGTTAAATTTGCCCCTTTCAATGACAGAAACCCAGTTGCACTGGCGATTTGAAGGTTAAACGCCTAGCGTAACCCAAACGGTATTGATAAATCTGTTATTAATGTCGCAATTAGCACATTGAAAAACTTTCACTTTTACGTTTTAAAATGGGCTGTTTAAGATAGTTTTACTATTTGTCCCAAATCACAATCAGCATATTTAAAAACTTGTGACTCTTATGTTTTAAAAGATGCTGTTTTAAGAAGGGTTTTACCATTTGTTCCATAATTACAATGGGCTCATTTAAAATTTTCAGAAACTTTATGTTTTAAAAAGTGTTGGTTAAAGTTATATTTCTTGTTTGTCTCATATTCACAATTAGCACATTTAAATTTCTTAGAAACGTTATGCTTTAATACGTGTTGTTTAAGGTAGGATTTACTATTTGTCTCATAGTCACAATTAGCACATTTTAAATCTTTAGATATTTTATGTATTAAAAGATGTTGTTTGAAGACATGTTTATCATTAGTCCCATAATTACAATCAGCACATTTAAAATCCTTAGAAACTTGATGTTTTAAAACGTGTCGTTTGAAGTTGCTTTTATTAATTGTCCCATAATTACAATCAGCGCAATGAAAATCTTTAGCAACTTTATGTATTAAAAGATGTTGTTTGAAGATGAGTTTATGATTTGTCCCGTAATCACAATCGGCACATTTAAAATCCTTAGAAACTTTATGATTTAAAAGATGTAGTTTGAAGAGCTGCTTGTTATTTGTCCCATAATCACATGTAACACATTTAAAATCTTTAGAAACTTTATGATTTAAACGATGTAGTTTGAAAAGGTGTTTATTATTTGTCCCATAATCACAATTAACACATTTGAATTCCTTGGAAACTTTATGATTTAAAAGATGTAGTTTAAAGAGTTGTTTATTATTTGTCCCATAATCACAAGTAGCACATTTAAGATCCTTTGCAGCTCTATGTTTAAAAAGATGCTGCTTAAAGTTGCTTTTATAATTTGTCTCATAATCACAATCGGCACATTTAAAATCTTTAGAGATTTTATGTATTAAAAGATGTTGTTTAAAGACGTGTTTATCATTTGTTCCATAATCACACTCAGCACATTTAAAATCCTTAGACACTTTATGTTTTAAAAGATGTTGTTTGAAGTCGCGTTTAACATTTGTCCCATAATCACAATCACAACATTTAAAATCCTTACAAATTTTATGTTTCAAAAGATGTTTTTTAAGATCGGATTTATAATTTGTCTCGTAATCACAATCACCACATTTAAAATTCTTCAAAATTTTATGTTTTAAAAGATGTCGATTGAAGCCGCCTTTATAATTTGTCTCATAATCACAATCGGCACATTTAAAATCCTTAGAAACTTTATGTTTTAAAAGATGATGTTTGTAATCGCGTTTAATATTTGTCCCATAATCACACTCTGTACATTTAAAATCCTTAGTAACTTTATGATTTAAAAGATGTCGTTTGAAGAGGTGTTTATTATTTGTCCCGTAATCACAAGTAGCACATTTAAAATCTTTAATAACTCTATGTGTTAAAATATGTCGTTGGAAGATGAGTTTATCATTTGTCCCATAATCACAATCGGCACATTTAAAATCCTTAGAAATTTTATGTTTTAAAAGGTGTTGGTTCAAGTTATATTTCTTATTTGTCTCATAATCACAAACAACACATTTCAAAACTTTAGACACTGTTTTACACGGACTTAAAAGGTGACGTTTAAAGTCAATGTGTTGCTGTAATTCTTCCTTATAAAGGGATTTCGTACACGCACTAATAGTAATTTCGTCTTTTATTGTCACCAAAACTTCGCTGTTTACAGAAATGTGTCCCTGAAGAAAAGAATGGATTTCTTCTTCTTGCTTTGGTTCGATTTTAATAAGTAATGTCTCATTATCTTCATCCATACCTAACATTAACAACAATTGGTGTTAAAAATCTACAATACTGAGCAACTAGTTCACAGACCATCACTAGATTACTAATGTAAAGCTAAAGAGTGGTAGCCACGTATGACGTGAACTAAGTTACACTCAGCACAAATGCAGCGTTGCCATTATCATATCGTACGTACATATTTGTCCTAAGAACCCCTGTAATATACAGGGTGGAAATGTTGTTTGGAACACTGACTATATCTTCAGAACTACTATTTTTACAGAGAAGTTTTTTATGGTATACACAATTATAGCGTTTTCGATTGGCAAAACTCGTGCTGCACGAGTGCAATTTTTACGTTCTAATGGTAATTTTAGGGCAATTTTCTGTGTTCCATTGGCAAATGTGATGCAACAATTACGCACTAAATGCAATGTTTGACGCACGAGGTCGGAGAGCTCGTGGAGCAAATTTTCAAAATAAAAGTGCGCCAATTTGAATTTGTTTCTTGCGTTGGAGAGTTTTTTTGTTGTCATCTAGCGATAGCGAAGATGATGAACTAGCCATATAACTTCTACTTTACAAAAAGTTGCATTTACTCTTTAAAGTGAACGCCAAAAATTGGTTCTTTACAGGAATTTCAAATTTATATTCCTCATTGTTTATCATAAATAATAGTGAAATCGTTTCAGTCATTTTTTGGAATACAGATTTGTCGATTACCTAAATCATTGTATAAATACAAATCTAAAATGAGGTTATGGACAAATGATAACAAATATTTATGTTCCATTGAGAGCAATTTTCGCATGCATTTCTTCAGTTTCTCGTGCAATACTCGTGCAGCACGAGTTTTGCCAATCGAAAACGCTATTAGAAAAAGTTTGCTCTCGCAGATTAATGGACAGATGGGTTTCTGAGTACATGTAAATCCCAATGCCTACTTCTAAATGAATAACACTGACTCTATTAATTAAATGGTTACATTTTCCAGAAAAACCAATTACTACTTATTACTGTATTAACAGTTGGCTACGGAAACTACATAATTACGCATACACATTATATCTTTAGAACTTCTGTGTGTTAACAGATGGGATTTAAAATTGGCATCCAAGTTGCATACCACACTGAGCACATTTTAAATCTTTAAGGTCGTCTTTTAAGTATTGTGTACTTATATAACCTTTAAAATTTGTACAGCTTATGCAGTAATTTTTAAAATTGACACTAGTATTGGTGGCATATTCACACTGGATCCACTTCAGATGGGTCTTAACTAGATTTGTTATTGGTTGCAAAATCAGACTGGGCACACTTTCAAACTTTGGACGTGTCGTGTGTTAACATATGTGTCTTTAAATTAGCGTTATAATTAGTTGCATACACACACTCGACACATTTAAAAATTCTAGACCTCTTGTGTATTAACAAATGTCTAGTTAATCTAGATTTCAAATTAGTTGTGTAATCACACTCGGCACACTGTATATCCTTTGAAGTCTTGGTTTTGAAAACTCTCGAGGTCTTGGTGTGTGTTAGCAGATGTCTCCTTAACCTAGTTTTACAATTGGTTGAGTAGTCACACTGAGTACACTTTAAATCTTTTGATGTCTTGTGTATCAACATATGGTTCCTTAAATTAGATTTACAGTTAGTTGAGTAGTCACACTGAGCACATTTTAAATCTTTAGATGTCTTATGTATTAACACATGTCTCTTTAAAGTAGATTTACAATTGGTTGAGTAGTCACACTGAGTACACTTTAAATCTTTTGATGTCTTGTGTATCAACATATGGTTCCTTAAATTAGATTTATAGTTAGTTGAGTAGTCACACTGGGCACATTTTAAATCTTTAGATGTCTTATGTATTAACACATGTCTCTTTAAAGTAGATTTACAATTGGTTGAGTAGTCACATTGAGCACATTTTAAATCTTTAGATGTCTTGTGTGTAAAAAGATGTCTATTTAAACTATGTTTATAATGAGTTGCGTAATCGCACTGGGGACATTTTAAACACCTGTGTGTTAACATATGGCTTTTAAAATTGGCAGTATCTTTTGTTGCATATCCGCACTTAACACATTTGAAACCTCTAGAAGTCTTGTGTGTTAACAGATGTCTTTTTAAACTAGATTTATACTTAGTTGTGTAGTCACACTGGTCACATTTTATATCTTTATACGTTTTGTGTCTTAACAAATGACTTTTAAACTTAGCACCAGTATTAGTTGCATATTCGCACAGGATACATTTGAAATCTTTAGATGTTTCATGACTTAATATAGGTGTTTTTAAACTAGATATGTTGTTGGTTGCAAAATCAGACTGGGCACACTGTAAAACTTTCACTGTGTTGTGTGTTAACAGGTGTATCTTTAAAGTAACTTTATAATTGGTTGCAAAATCACACTGGGCACACTTTAAGACTTTCAACGTGTTGTGTGTTAACAAATGTCTCCTTAAAGTAGATTTACAATTGGTTGAGTAGTCACACTGAGTACACTTTAAATCTTTTGATGTCTTGTGTATCAACATATGGTTCCTTAAATTAGATTTACAGTTAGTTGAGTAGTCACACTGGGCACATTTTAAATCTTTAGATGTCTTATGTATTAACACATGTCTCTTTAAAGTAGATTTACAATTGGTTGAGTAGTCACATTGAGCACATTTTAAATCTTTAGATGTCTTGTGTGTAAAAAGATGTCTATTTAAACTATGTTTATAATAAGTTGCGTAATCGCACTGGGGACATTTTAAACTCCTGTGTGTTAACATATGGCTTTTAAAATTGGCAGTATCTTTTGTTGCATATCCGCACTTAACACATTTGAAACCTCTAGAAGTCTTGTGTGTTAACAGATGTCTTTTTAAACTAGATTTATACTTAGTTGTGTAGTCACACTGGTCACATTTTATATCTTTATACGTTTTGTGTCTTAACAAATGACTTTTAAATTTAGCACCAGTATTAGTTGCATATTCGCACAGGATACATTTGAAATCTTTAGATGTTTCATGAGTTAATATAGGTGTTTTTAAACTAGATATGTTGTTGGTTGCAAAATCAGACTGGGCACACTTTAAGACTTTCAATGTGTTGTGTGTTAACAAATGTCTCTTTAAAGTAGATTTACAATTGGTTGAGTAGTCACACTGAGCACATTTTAAATCTTTAGATGTCTTATGTACTAACAGGTGGTTCCTTAAATTAGACTTACAATTGGTTGAGTAGTCACACTGAGCACATTTTAAATCTTTAGATGTCTTGTGTGTTAACAGATGTCTTTTTAAACTATGTCTATAATGAGTTACGTAGTCACACTGGGCACATTTTATATTTTTAAAAGACCTATGTGTTAACATATGGCTTTTAAAATTGGCAGTATCTTTTGTTGCATATCTGCACTTAACACATTTGAAACCTCTAGAAGTCTTGTGTGTTAACAGATGTCTTTTTAAACTAGATTTATACTTAGTTGTGTAGTAACACTGGTCACATTTTATATTCTTATAAATGTTGTGTATTAACAAATGACTTTTAAACTTGGTACTAGTATTGGTTGCATACTCACACAGAACACATTTAAAACCTTTAGATGTCTGATGTGTTAATATATGTGTCTTTAAACTAGATTTATAATTGGTTGTGAAGTCACACTGAGAACATTTTAAATCTTTTGAAACTTTGTGTGCTAATTTTAACCTATGTTGCTTCAATTGGGTTTTATTGGAGAGTTCAAAATCAGACTGTGAACATTTACCATTTTTTGAAATTTGGGGCGTCTTATTATGTGAGAAATTTTTCGGATATTTGTTTGTGTTTCCAAAAAATTCATCTTCCTGGTCCAAATCATCAAGACTACCATTAGAATAACTCGCAGTGACCGTAATCTCATTAGATTCCTGCTTTAGAGTTGCAGAGACATCATTAGTAAGAAAAACCTTTTTGTCAAGGTATGTATTTATTTCTTCTTCTTGTTTCGGTTCTAGTTTAACAATTGCAGACATCTTCGAGTATAATAAGTAGGTACTCTAAAAACAGAGTTGAATTAATAGCGACCAGAAATCAAATTTTACTGCAACAAAGAAATTGTCATACCTTTATTATAGGGTAAATCACGAGTACTTACACAACATTTCTCATTTATTGATAAGGTTAATGAGTAGAATATCCTTCTATAATGGCTAATACCAATTGTTTATTTATGATTAAAGGATATCTCTGAAGCTAAACGCCATTATGTTGGTATTAGTTCAGTGGCGTAACCAATACCTTCTGTGTACAGTGTTTCACAAACAGAGGCGGCGCACACCCCTGGGGTAGAGGAGAGGGAGGCGTTGTTAAGGGGGCGCGAGATCCCTGATGTATTTGGGGTAAATATTTACTTACCTTTAAAATACTTATATTAGGTATTTCTATGTAAAATTGTATTTGACCAATTCTTACACAGATAAGAAGGTGTCTACAACTTGGTAAATTCACCTTTTTATGCGGATGAAAGCACCGATGTTGCACAAGCACAATGTTGCCAGATGATAGTGTATGTGTGATATACAATATATGGTGCTATAAAAGATAAGATCTCGAATGAACTAAAAACGACCTCAAAAGCCTTTGATGTTATGGATGCAATATCCGACTTGATTGAAAAACATAATATTTTATGCGTCATAACAACTTTTTTTAGCACCGTCAGAAAGTTGAGAAAATTCACCAAGATTTTGTTAATCTTAATAGTATATTATATACCGCGGGACTGAAGTAGTACTTTTAATCCCGAAGGTAAAGTTTATGGCCCGACCGAAGGGAGGGCCATAATTTACCTGAGGGATTAAGACCACTACTTCAGTCGCAAGGTATATACGATATTTTTCGTACTTCCGAAACTGAAACACTTCATCTGTATGGAGTTAGAGAACGCGTTCTTTAAAAAAATCGCTGCTCAACAAGTTACCATAGGAACTGTCATTGCCAGTGTCATAATTTTGATGGTGGGTGACAAAATAATTTTTCGTACTTCCGAGACTAAAGTGACAACTTCACTCCATTATGACATGTACTGAAGTGTCACTTTTTGTCCCGCCGGGATTAAATTTTGCGAAAATCCCGGAAGGATGAAATTACTAACAAAACAATTTCAGTAGGTTGTTCCACATTTTGTATGCGGCACTACTTCTTAAACGCATCGTACTGCTGTTCATATAGTTTTTTGGATTTCGGTGGTATCAATTCTTTACCTACTTTGGCTGCTTTTTATCAATATCAAATACACCTTTTTGCCCTCCCGAGATTAAACTTGCTACTTTAGTCTCTGGGAATAGGGAGTAAAGTTGATCTTTTAATCCCAAGGGATAAAAAGTGTTCCCATAACAACCAAAAAATGAAGCGAATTTGACAAGTCTTGTCCATATTTATTTAGCTATATTAACGTTTATAATACAATTTTCACAATTATGTAGATTAATGATTGGAGCAACATGTTCACCTCTTATTTCTTTAATAGCAACGTTTGCGCTGGTGCTACTATTTGCATTAACTGTACTCGTACCCTGCTCATGGCCAATTAGAATTTTTTCTGCCGTTTGAATTTTGTTATTCAGGGAATTTTCAACATACCCTTCAGCCACTGTTGCAGACCTCCATCCGCCATGACGTTTAAGAGCACTAACATCAGCACCAGCATCAGCTAGCAACGAGGCGGAGGATCGTCTAAAACAGTGGCCTGTGTATAAATGAGCATCCGAAAGATTCAAGAAAGTAGCGATTTGTCGCGGTAACTTTCCAAAAAAATTTTTTCCAATCGGTTGGACAGTGCACTTATTATCTTTATAATAAACAAAGAATCGGTCATGATTCGTGTTCGGCTTCCTAAGTGACATATATTTTCTGCACAATTCCACAAAGTTAAGATTACTTCTGTCGTTGTTGACAATGGTAAAAGTTCTATCCACATTTGTCTTCGTGTCTCTTATATTAACAACAAGCATATCACCGACGTCGCAAACATCAGTAATCTTTGATGTACACAGCTCATTTCCCCTACATGCCCCAGCGACTCCCAAAGTCAATACAACCTGAAAAGATTACAAAATTACTCAACGTTGTTGGTAGAATATTAACAATTTACCTTGGACAATAGATATTTATCATTTGGAGCATCTTTTAAAAACCTGTCCATTTCTTCTCTCGTGAGCACTTTGGACTTCTTCGGTTTATATCCGTCATTTTGACGTTTGATAAACGCAATTAGTTTTGGAAACCTACTAATGTCGATATTTTTCTTGACCAATATTGTGGCCTTGTGCATTGAGTACAAGGACCATAGCGAAGAAGGTGAAAACCCTTGCTGTTTCTCTTCAAAATAAGCGAGCATGGCATTTTCAGTGTATTCTTGTACAGTTTTACTTGCACACCATTTTTTAAATTCTTCATACCGCTTGTTATATAAATTTTTCGACTTCGTGGGTAAAAGGCTCTCGACCGCTCGTGCAGCTGCCATCTTTATGCCAAGAGGTTCCTTACATTTATTCTCAGTCATGTTTCTTGCTTACTTAAATCACGAAATGCAAAATGGTTCGTTTTATTTACACCTATTACCTTGGTTACCTAACCAAGCTTACTAATGCTTTTTTTAAAAGGTCAATTTCTTTAGGTTCAGTTGAATTGCTGGAAGTTTTTAGTTATCCGGGAGGGCAAAAAATTGCGTATATACCACAGGACTAAAGTGCGATCTAATCCCTCAAGTGGTTATTGCCCTCGCTCGCTCGGGCAATAATTTCCACTCTCGGGATTAAATCGTGCACTTTAGTCCCTTGCTATATAATATACTATTTTGATATCTTTGATCAACGTATTTTCGAAAATGACATTGTTCGGTTGTTTAGCCATAACTTCGCTATTTATAGACCTACAAAGCTCTTTGAAAGGGAAAATTAATCACCATAAAATTCTGCATAATTTTGCCCATTCAAACGGCTTTGTATCTCTTACGGTTTCCGAGTCCCCACCCCATAATGAAAATAAAAAACAACTAACCCTGTAAGTAATTTTTTTAATAAATACGTTTGTAGTAACAGCAGTTTTGATTTTTTAATCGCCATTGGGGGGGGGGGGGGGTGAGCAATTCAATTCAATTTTAATTGTATGAAAAGGGAGCCACGGAAATAAGTTTGGGAACCACTGGTCTAAAATCTAGTATCTAGATAGAAGCAGTATGCTGTCAAGGAATAAGCAATCATAGTGTCTATACTATGAATCACGTATACTTGGGTATGACTCATTGTTAAAATTGAGGTGTTTGGCATACACTCTTCAACTCCTTTACTATTTTTTTTACTTGGTTTAGTGTTATAAGGTTGAGTTGATAGAAAATGGTGTGACATCTCCAAATAAAAGTGAGAATTTTGATTTGATTTATTGCAAATTTTACAACTCTGAACGTAATTCACAAGGCAAGATTTTCTTCGTCATCAAGTCGATAAAGGATTAATCACCAATGATAAAGCGATATGACGACTGCTTTCCAAGAGCACTGAGTCTAGAATTTTCTAGAAGCTTTTCGTTTACTATATAAGCAACTTGAATTGTGTTTAATAGAAGTTCCAATATCGATGCCGAAGTGATAAATAGTAAAATTCGAGCTTATGTTATAAATTTACATGTTATAAACTTGAGTACAAGTACACGTCAGTGATAAATAATAATAACTGTTTTAAACCAATCTATTTATAATTGCAACGACTTTTTTTGGTCATGAGCAGGATTACGTTTAACCCTATGCATCTTACATATATTTTAATGTAAATAGTAATAACCAATAACCACCATAAACATATCATATGGCTATGGTAACCACTAATGTTAAATCTTAACCCTAATCACTTACTCGTGGCCCGCTGCCGGACGGTGCGTAAGCTATACGAGAAATCTAATTAACATTTCCTCTATTTAAGATATGTGTAGCATGAGCAATAATCGACTTGCACGTGAATATTTGCTATTGGCATTCTCATATGTATTTTTTAGGTTACCGGAGGCTGGAGTAGAGCCACACCATTTTGATGTTTCCTAAGTACATGCAATTTATCATTTTACGAGTTATTTTATTTCAATTGATGTATTTTATGTGTTTTTGTACTACATTGCTTTATCATGTTTTCCACTTGCATTTATGATGTCTCGTGTGTTTTATTTTTATGAATTGTTTAGCTGTATTTGATCCGATTAACTCACTTTTATCGTACAATCTGAGATGTTTTATTTGTGTATTTTCTCTTGCATTTTGTTGCTGTAGTTCATTTATTTAATGCATTTGTGTGGGCTATGCCGGGTTTTGTCCCGTAGAAGGTTTCCCTGGTATAGCCTTGTTGAGTGCGTAATATATTTATTTGTTCTTGTGATTTCTTCTCGGCTTGAGAGACCCCTAGGATCATTACAGAGGTTTGGATGGCTGTATACGCTGGGGTATGCGGTGGTATATCCATACTAATAACCGGCAAATTTGGGGCTACTCTATACAGCTTAGAGTAACAGAAGAATGGTGTAGGGAACACTCCTTGTCCATGAACCCTACAAAAACGGAGCTAGTTCTCTGCTATTCCAAGAACACCTCTAATTTTCAGAATCAGTGAAATATCTAAAAATCACGCTTGACAAACAACTGAATTGGAGCAAACATATCCAGCTCAAAGCCGAAAAAGCAAATAGGGCTTTCTGGCAAAGTCGCTGCGCAATTGGGAGACTTCGGGTACCATAACCCGAAGACTGTATTGTGGCTGTACACTGCTGTGATCAGACCTATGCTCTGCTGTGGACCAATTGTCTGACATGCTGCCAGACTGTGACCAGACTCTCCACAACTGTAGCACTTCTTAATCATGTGCAAAGATTTGCGTGCCTTGCTGGCGCGATGCGAACAACTCCCACAGCCGTCATGGAGGCCCTTCTGGATCCGCTTCCACTTGATCTCCACGTGAGAGAGCAGGCCACTCTGGCATCCTTGCGTCTTAAAAATAAGGGATTATTGAATAGCAGAGGTATTGAAGTGGGCTAGTCGAAGCCTGGGCGAGGCGATTGCCTATCCTAGAAGGGCGATCAGACTCAGTCACTCCCCAATTCATATATTAGGGAAAAACTTTCACATCTTTCCTGATGAGGATGTGGCATCCCAACTAGACATATTCATCTTAATGGATAGATCTAAAACAATTTAAGGAACAGACACTGGTATTTATTCCAAAGAGTTGAACTTCCATATCCACTAGGCACACTTCCTACTGTATTCCAATCAGAATAATTGATAGGACTAGCACTTGAGGGTATCCTGACTAGACATGACACCGCCAATTAGAGCCGCCTCCCCTTCCAGCATCCTTAAGATCATCTCACGTATGGGATGGTTTCAGTGACATTGAGAGGTCGGAAGACTCAAATCAGGGAGGTAGTAGAAAGGGCCCGAATTTGAGGCCTACATACGCCGTTGTATCGTAATCCAGAATACATAACGCGGGCAAACCTCAGAAAAGAAAACGAAACTATAAATGTACATTTATTTGCAATTGTGTTTTCAAACACAATTTACGTAATTTTTACAGAACTAACAAATATAAATCACGGTAATTTTAAATAAGAGATAATATTAAATACAACCGTGTGCAGTGTTAGCACTAAATTTTAAACATTAATATTTACATAAAATTAATCTATTGTCACGAACTGCATAAAAACAGCATTATTGTGCGAAACTTAAATTAAGCCTGTTAATAGATTTTTATCCAATATAAAAACAACCAATAACAGTTAGATAAAATTAAGGGGGGGGAGGGAGGTTTTAAATTCACAAAACAATTTTTAAATGCATTCCATTATACAACTAATTTTTTAAGTTAAAATTAAAGCAATAAAATTGCAATATCAGACTAGAGTAATACATTGCTAAAATTGCTGAATTGTCAAGAGAACTATTAGGTACTAATTACTGTGTCAAAAGGCGTTGTTATTGTACTGTCGGACTAAATAAAATGCATCTTGCGTCGTTAAAAATTTGTTGAATTCTTCTAATCGGCTTGTTCTAATTAAACAAAAAGAAACGGGTATTGCACCAGATCAAAGCAAATGCACTAAAATTAGTCAAATACAGTCTGTACAACTTAACAACGTAAAATTTACACTAACGCCTAATAGGCCATGAATTATTTACATCCACACAACGAACAATTTGTGAAAATGTAAAATTTCCCCAAGTTTAAAAATTTGAGCCGGTTGTCACAAAATGCGCTTACTTTATTTTAAAATGTCACCTAAACTAAAATTAAAACTAATCATAAATCACGATTTCATGGCAGATATGCTTACAATCCGAAAACGTTGAATACCGATTGATATTATAAATAATTATGAGAGGTATAAAATGTTTACATATTGTAAGCCACATAAATAGGATCGAGTTGGTCAGCTAGAAAGCCATCTCTGAGATGCATACGTTGCTTTTCACCTCGAGAGTTTATTGGCACAACACCTGGATCAACGACTACCACTACTCCTACTATTAAATGATGCTCCTCCAGAACGGTATTTGTCACTAGGGGAACTAAATCCAAAGCTTCGCTTTCGTTACCATCTAATTCAACCACTACTACTAACAAATTGGTCCATGTAAACACAGCACTGAAAAAATCATTGTCAAATTAGTGTTACACAGTGAAAAAGCTGGAAATGCAAAGATCTAAAAGGGTATGATTGCATCTGATTCTACACCAAAGGTGCATCTTTAAAGCCTCCCTGCCTCATATGGCGCAGACATTCCCCTTCTTACAACAGTCATTTGTTTTTGTAATTATCCGAGATTTGTTTGAAATTTGCAAATGATCATTGAAATTCATTAAAGACAGTGAATCTCATGTATTTAGTTAACGTCAACCAACTGCCGATTTCGGTGCACAGTGGATGTGTCGCCTTATTGATAAAGTCTGTGGGCCCAGTTGTTTTGCGTGACGACTTCCACATGTTTGTCTAACTTTTATTATTTCTAGAGATTATTTCCATTGTAAATATTGTAAGCACATTTCAAATGGACCGCTTGAACGTCTAGAAACGCTATGGATTTTTCATAGGTCCAATGTTACTCTTTGGCATTGATTCTGTGTCTGAATTAAAATGAACTCTTTGACTTTTTCCTAAATGATTTATTTACTAAGTGTATTTAGAATTAGAAGACTTTAAAAACCGCCCAATTGAGTTTCAAATTCATGATAGGTATGCTTTTGAAACCACACATTAAGAAATCATCACAAAGATATCGTAGTGAATATTTCAAAGAGGCGCCATGACAGATGAGTCATCGGTGATAAACAACGAAGGCGGATGTGACGCAATCTTTCCGGGAAATATGACGTGTTTTGTTCTAGAACATTCCAGAATACTCAGGAGCGTTCGGAAGCACTCGGGAGCGTTCGGAAGCACTCGAGTACGCTCGTGTTTGCTATACAGCGTGTTGCATCGACAGGCGGGACACAGGAAATCCCATGTAAATTTTAAAAAGGGTAATTATTGGCTTCCCTAATTATTTTAGAGGAAACATCTATTTAGGTTATTTGAAGAGCATTAAAATCCGCATCCTTATTCTATCAACTGTTTATTTTGTGGGTATTGGCCTGTTCAGGTATTGAGCAGCAAACATGTCTGATACTTGTTGATAACTATTTCCTTGATAATACCACTTAATCATCAATACTTTCTCTTCAGTTGTGTAATTCATGGCTAATAATAGAAATAAAGCATTAAATTTCAGTATGACAACTTCATTTGACAATCAACCTTTACCTCAATTATTCCCTGTAAATACGGGCGATAAGAAAGGAGAAATTATAAAATATTTTTGGGAATATCTCGTTAAAGGGCTAACCAAAAACATCGAAAGTTAGATTTTTCAACTCGACCTCCTTCAATTTACATGGGAATTCCTATGTCCCGCCTGTCGATGCAACACGCTGTATAAGCAAATCGAATTGCGTTTCAGTGAGTTCCTCCGAAGTAATAAATAGTTCGCGCCGTTATAACCAATATTTAAAAGCTCAAATTGTGTTTTTTTGCTCTCGCCAGCTTTCTAATACCTTTCCAGAACGTTTTCCGAATATTTGTAGACCGTTTTAAAGGATAAACGTACTTAAAATGTTCCGGGAAAAATTGGAAAAGACCTTAACACCCTAGAAAAGCGATGGAGAAACTATATACCTAATTACCTACACCTCCTGAGAAGGGGCTTTTCTACTAGAGCATATAAAACCGCAGAAACGAATTTAGAGAGCCGTACATCATCAGTTTGACGTGAGTTTGGTGTCAAATGAAGTGCGATTTAATTAAAATGAATTTTAAAACGGTCCCAGATTTTTAAGATAACAGCGGATCGAGTAATAAAGTTGTCATCCGAGTACGCCGGCCGACAGGAAATTCCGATGTTCCCTTTCTGCATTCTGTTTTAGATTATTCGCCAATGACCGACCGCCCGGCCGTTCCCTGGAGTTTTCCGTCCCCGTTCGGCTGCAGCTTCTACTGTTTGGTTTAGAAATTTTCCCTTTCGTTTTAATTATTGTCGTTTGATTTAACTTTATTTTTGATCTTGCTAAATGGACCGTTTAATTGAAAGTAATCGATTAGCGCGTTTGAATACTGCCAAAGCGCTCTTTTTAAGCCCTTTCTAGACCTAGGAATTTATGAAAAAAGCTTTGAAGTTTCTCAAGGACTACAAATGCTCTAAAAATGTTTAATAATGACTTAAGTGACTCTGGTCCTTTCCAGAGCGTCCGAATGTATGTTCTCCAGAGCATTCTATCGCTCTTTTACAGCTTTTAGAAGCCTTTCCAGAGCTTCCTGGCTATTTCCAAAACTATCTACCCTCGTATATAGTCCATCCGTTATTACTATTCCGATATGTAATTAAACCCACTAAATGCAGTGCTAACTTTTTTTTACTTCACGTCGTCGATTTAATATAAAAAATTTCCCAAACAAACTGCAACGCGTTATTGTTGACGTGCAGAATAAGAATGAATAAAGTAAGGTACCGCAACGGTTAAGCGATTTTAGCTCGTATCGCTTACGTTAAAGAATGTTTATTGAAGTAAATTTCGCTTGCATGGCATGGCATCAAGTAGGCGTAAACAACATTGCTGTAAACAAAAACTGGATGCAAGCGAAATTCAGTTCAATTAATATTATTTGACGTAACCAATACGATCTAGAATCGATTAACCGCACCCGCAACCGCACTTTGTTCATTCTTATTATGCACGTCAACAATAGCGCGTTGCATGTTTGTTTAAGAGAATTATTTATATTAAATCGACGACGTGAAGTAAAAAAAAGTACACGCTGCATTTAGTGGGGTTAATTACATATCGGAACAGTAATAACAAATGGACTATATCCCTCAAAAAGATCCAGAAAGCTCGGAAAGGCGTCTGAAACGCTGTTGAAGGGACTTAAAAAGCTGGAAAGGTGCAAAAACGCTGTAAAATGCACGTATAAAATTCTCACTTAAACTTAGAAACTTTCTATAGCTTTCTAAGTGCTTTTCAATACCTTCTAGGCGTTTCTAAACCTAACGTAAACTACCCGAGTCTAGCAAAGTAACAAACTTGGTTTGCGTCGGGTTTCAAGACGAATCCGTATAATCAAGGTATACGGAAGATTTAATGCGAATTACAAGGGAAAACTGTGCCACTAATTCGACGAAGTTATTGCCGAGTGTGCTCTTAAACTCATAGTGAGTCAAGTAAAGCTAAGAATCAGATAAAAATGTCAGGTCGTCAAAGTTTATAGGCGAATTTATTACTATAATCCTCAGTGATGGATGTTAAAAGCGATCTGAGGACTACCAGCCCTCACTGCAAACCGTGCACTCTCTATAACGACTGCTTTTCACAAAACACAATCAGACAGTTTGAGATCTTTGATAAACTTGCATTATAAAAACTAATAAAAAGACTCACCATTCAGCAATTTTCTTGTGACATCGTAACACACTGTTTTCAATATCGATGGGGTGATACCTCATGCCTCTCAAAACAATCGTTTCATCCAGCGCTCCCACCACAAAAACGGCATCTTGAAGTTCCCCGGCGTCGCTCGTCGCAAGATGCTGTTGAGATCCTAAAGATTCAGTATCACTTTCGTTCAGTCCTAGCCTCGTGTTCTCCTCAGTGTGGCAGCTTGATGAGCACTCAGTTCGTCTGAGAAATCCCAAGTAGCCGGTTCTGGCGTACACCTCACCCGTATTATTCGTGACGAGACGCGCGCTAAAGTGGTCGGCGTAGTCGCTCTCGTCGCCGTAAATCGTAAAATACCCGCTAGCCGAATGCCCGCTTTGCACCCAAATTTCGCCCAGGTGCGAGTCGCCGCACTGTCCCTTGGATTCGGGATTGGCGATGAGAACCTTGACACCGGGTAGCAACTTTCCGCTTTCGATCAGGCACAAGCTGTGCGGGCTGCCGCGTTCGACTAACGTAACCCTATCGTTTCGTAAAGCTCGCAAGTCGACGTATACTGTTGAGGGTTCCGGACTCGAGGCGCCTTGAAGACAAATCGCCACGTTCACCCGGCATCCGAACGACGTCGAAACGGCCCTCGGACTCAGTCCTAGCGCGCTGAACAACTTTGAAAAACTAGTGGTAAGATTAATTCTAGGTCTCTCCTCCGCGACCACGACGCACGTGCGCACGCAGGCTAGGGACACGCCGCGAGTTTTCAGTTGGTTGACGGACGAGCCCAGTCCTTTTGTGCATAATTCCATCACGCCATATGAGCAAAACGTATCACGAACTTTGTATTGGCTTACGGCCGTCAGCCATAAACCCGGGTTTACTTCTACTTCCGAAGGTGGTATTAATATTGAATGATGTCCCGAATATATACTACTTAAACACCTGCAAATTAGATACGATTAGTAGTACGCTTCGATTAAAATATAATAATATAATGAAAAATAATAATAAAATATAAAAGAACTAGAGATTTGTAAAAGAGTCATTGAAAGTCGATATGAAGTTTAAAAGGTAATTTTTCATTTAACATTGATTAATTGAATTAAAGACAAAATAACTTGCACGTAGCTTTTATGATTCACAAAATTTGTGTGTAGAATGAATGCTTTCTAAATTCCCATGCATGTTACAGCCGCTAGGGTGTAATTTAAGGATATTTCAGTGGTGTCTATGCCACCTGGTACATCTGGTCACGCCCTCAATTGTGCCACTTGAATTAAACCTAGCGCCATGAAGGTTACACCATAGTGAAATTTTAAGAAGTGGAGGAGGGGGGGTTAAACTTAAGGTTTTCAAAAGTTCCGTTTTTAAACATGTTTTTTGCACTACACTGTACCGTAATTATGCACTCAAACGCGTCGTAAACAGAAATTTTTGCGCCATAATATATAAGTAACGAGCGCCTTACTTTTTTAATATGACTATCATATCTCAAGTGGGGGGATAGGGGGAGGGGGGTGAGCTAGGAAAACAGTTAACGGATCCCTCTACAATAAAATTTGAATGTATTGAACTTACCATAATGCAAATCCTAACCCGCAGTACGGATCTAGACAGAGCGCTATGTGTCTACTGGGATACAATTCGCACGCAAGTTTCATACTTCTACACAGATTCGTAACGGCGACGTGCGACATTTTTATTCCAGCCAACATTCCGGTCGTAGAAACGCTAAAATCCAAGTACGCCAGCATTTCGGCGGTCGGAGCACGATACGCCACCGGCAGTTTCTTCTTTGGCATGTCGTCCGTGTCCAAGATCGGCGGCCACGATTTTAAATCGACCACGTTGCTCGCCTCCTTTGACCGCAAGAGCTTTATGACCGCCTGCGAAGAGAGCACCAAGATCGACTTTGAGACGTCGACGATCATTCGAACGGTCGGCAGGGTCGTTTGGAGATTTTGTGGATGAGGTGGTCGAATGGTGACGGGAACTGCGCCGACGTACAAACATCCGTAGAATGCGCAGATTAAATCTAGACCGGGTGGGAAGATGAGCGCCACGTGATCGCCGGTGTTAATGCGCCCCTTTTCGCTTAGAAGGTTTCCAATTCGCTCCGCTTTCTTGTGCAATTCGGAACAGCTGAGAACTTTGGCCGCCGCCCCTTTACTATTCAAAAGTGTGAATAGTACGTGATCCGCGGTGCTATGGGCTCTCCAACGTAGCAGTTCCGATATAAATTGATACTGCAAAGCAAAGCGATAGAGAGAGGGAGGGAGACCATTAGAGCACTTACCCTTTTATTAGAATCACTTTCTTCGTCATGGAGGCCCATATCTCTACCTTGTGCGCTAGCGAGGCGATTGCCTTGCACCAAGTTACCGACGATAACAGACGCAGGGCCCACGTCTGAAACACAGTCGGCTGCTGAAAGCCAGAGGAACAACATGCTATAGCATCACTCAAGCTCAAGCTGCCAGGTTAGACAAAGGCCAAGTACAAAAAGTCCAATGTGAATTAAACCAAAACAAAAAAAAGTTCGTACATGACCAATAATGTTTTCGAGTTAAAGACGTTAGTCGTAATCGTGCAATTTATGCTGCACACAATACAACAATAGGATGGTGACAATGTGCTTGTTAGTCATTACCTAACTAATTTAAAAGAATATGGAACTGCTACAAAATCCACCAAGTTACCATAAGGCACAAGGAGGTGGGTTGGTTAGACAGCAACCAGCAACACGATGATCCTGTGTGAAACTGTATGATATAACAAAATAATTTAGTTGCCACCCTGATCTTAACACATCAAAACACTATCAGGGGTCAGTACCAGTCTGTTCAAGCAAAGAGTATGTAGTCTTTGGTTCCAGTTTAAATTTCTATGTTGGTTTTAACAAAAATAATTGCCATTCCTTTGCATATTTTGTCTTGAAATTCAGACCCAGTTTGTAATAGACCATGTAAACCAATAGAAACTTCTGAACTTAACCAGGTATGTAAAAATGTGCTTAATTAATATAACTTCCAATTCAGGCAAGTCTGCAGTTCACCACTTTTCTATATACAGCGTAAATAAATTGTAAATTGTAATAAAGCACTCATGTTTCTACCGATTTTAGTGGCCACTCTGTAGATGAACACCCGGTATCTAGAGGAGCTTCGTTACGCATTGACGTGCCAAAAATATTTATATTGTTCCTAGAAGTTGAAGATAGAAGGCAAGGGGAATTGATTTAATTTCTAGAGTTGATTTTACCCTCCGCTGTAATTAATCCGCCGTTTGCAACCGTTCCCGCCAAGATCTTTCAATTATTTTTGTTGCGTTCGAAAGCTCTTATCATTTAGAAGACGAGGCAAATTAATATTTTAGGATTTCGTTCAACCATTATTAGCAGGTCAATTAAGACGAGCATTAAAACTGCAAGGTAATGCATGTGTACGCCCATATCAGTTATGGTAAGCGACCTTTTATGCCGACCTGAGGAATTCCAATTAACAATGAGCCTTACTGGACTACCGACTTTAGAAATTTCAATCCGGTCGATTAATTAACAATTAATTAATTAACTAATTAACAGTAGCTAAATAAATGCGTTGCAAGAAACAGCACCCGATTAAGTTGGCGAAGGTCTCAAAAGAGTTTTAAGACCAATTACCAATTTTTAGGACGTCAGCAAGCCGCACAATGAATTAAAAAAGTTTTAATTTTTGGACGGTATTAACTGCATACGCTGGCCTGCCAGGAATTTCCTACTTTCCCTCTCCGTATTTTGGAAAGTTTATATAGGTAAGGTAAACGCTTAATTTAGAGGGAATCTTTTGCCTTTTCCAAATTTAATTATTGTTGTATAAACTACGCCTTGCCAACGTTTCTTGGGCTTCAACATGGCCAGCTAAGAATGCGAGGTACTGTATATGAGAACCTATCCATCGTGGATTCTTGAGATAAAAAAAGTTATTACTAAAACGGCCACGAGAAAAACCTGGAAAATATTTTTAAGTTTCTGAAATGGCCGCTAGGGAGCGTACCTGCAATCTGGAGTCTAAAAAAGTGATGTTTCGTTGAATTCCACTATATTAACCTAACAAAAAAATACCCGATCTTTGAAGTAGACAATAATCTGAACCTTTTTTGTTTGACAATTATTGCTGTATCTCTAAAAATGACGTGGTGGGGGGTTATTCAAACGTTTTCCGTAAAGAACACCCTGTATCTTCGAAACGGCCGAGCCGATTTTAACAAACTCGGGTTAATTGAAAAGAGTTATTCTTCGGCTACAAATATTATAATATTTGATGTTTTGTTAGTTTCACATATCGCCGCTTGAGGGCTTTTTTCGACATTCCGACAGAAATGGAAAAAATTTAATGCATTGGTTCGATTTTTTTTCATGAAAAAGTAGCTAAATGATGCCTAAACAAGCTTGCGAAAACCGCATCTCGCCGCTCATGAAAAAAAATCGAACCAATGCATTTAATTTTTTTTGAGAAAATTAACCATTTCTGTCGGAATGTCGAAAAAAGCCCTCAAACGGCGATATGTGAAACTAACAAAACTTAATATTTGTAGCCGAAGAATAACTATCTGGAATTAACCCGAGTTTGTTAAAATCGGCTCAGCCGTTTCAAAGATGCATGGTGTAATAATTGTCAAACAAAAAAGGTTCAGATTATCGTCGACTTCAAAGACCGGGCATTTTTTTGTTAGGTTAATATAGCGGAATTCACAGAAACATCACTTTTTCAGATTCCATAAAGTCACTAAATATAGAAAGTACCGCAATCCATTGGGCTCGTGTGGTAGAGAGAGAACGCATGATTTTTGCCCAAAAATGGCGGAAGTTACCAGATTCTAGTAACTTTAATGTTAGAGATTGTTCCACCTGTTTGGAGATATCTGTATATATTTTTATAAAACATGACAGTACTATGAAGTTAGGTTATAAAAAATGACAGCTATTCAGATTTTATTTGTCAATTTTTTTAAGGTGGCAGCAAATTTGCCCAAAAATGGCGGATGATTGCGGTACTCTTAGACAAGGAAAGGCGGTACTTTTTATATCTAGTGACTTTAAGATTTCAGTAAAGTCACTAAATATAGAAAGTACCGCAATCCATTGGGCTCGTGTGTTAGAGAGAGAACGCATGATTTTTGCCCAAAAATGGCGGAAGTTACCAGATTCTAGTAACTTTAATGTTAGGGATTGTTCCACCTGTTTGGAGATATCTGTATATATTTTTATAAAACATGACAGTACTATGAAGTTAGGTTATAAAAAATGACAGCTATTCAGATTTTATTTGTCAATTTTTTTAAGGTGGCAGCAAATTTGCCCAAAAATGGCGGATGATTGCGGTACTTTCTATATCTAGTGACTTTAGATTTCAGATTGCAGTTACGCCCCCTAGCGGCCATTTCAGAAACTTAAAAATATTTTCCAGGTTTTTCTCGTCGCCGTTTTAGTAACTTTTTTTACCGCAAGCCTCTACGATGGACAGGTTCCCAGATACAGTACCTCGCATTCTTATTTGGCCATCCTGTACCTAATAATAATGGGCCAGTCTGTATGCGTGAATTTCAATTTCTTTAGGCGTAAATGTAGTCGTTAACTCAGGATGAACACAATTTCCATCATGTTATTCGAATTTGAAGTCAATGTGATTTTTGTTTTGTTTTGATTTTTGATCAGTTTTCCTGTCTTAAAAGATGAGGAACATCTGGAAATATTTGCGTAGTATTTGTGGTATCTCAGGTCGTGCGATAAGAGCGTTATCGCTGTGTGAACTAATAAAGTTTGGTTATAAGCGGATTTCGCCGTAAGAAAACCTAGACGTTATATTTAACGACGCAGTAATTTTAATAAGGAGATGTTTTGGAAAGTTGAAACAAAAGGGAAATTGTTTTAAATAGAAGAGACGGACGTTAATCATAGCTTTTTTGATGGTGGACGTTAATCGCTGCTTTTTGTTTAGTGGACGTGAAAACGCAGCCATATTTGAGCGTATTTGTTGTAAAACAGTTAATTTTGCCGTTATCGAAGCTTTCTGCAAGACAGTTTTGCCGGTTATCACGTTTTAAGGAAGTAAGTGCTACGAGTATTAATAGATTTAAGTCGTCGTGATATAAGTGAATGTTTAAGTCGAATTAAAGAAGTGAAGTTTACAAAGAAGTTGTTGTTTCCCAGTATCGTGATTCATACGCAGCGCCGTGTAAACGGGGAGTAAGGTAATTATGATTTTTTTTAAATTAATCTGTTCTATCGACCGCTCGTTGCGTGGTATTTGTCTTCTGGCCCTGGGTGCATATTTTTCTTGCAGCTGATTTGATTGATTTATGTCAAATTACTTTGTTTTATCTGTAAATGGTTAGTTTTGTGTTTAATCGAGCCCACAGTCGCCCCAGATAAAAGTTCTCAAGATAAAATTTTGTAGTGGTACCCAAGGTTATACCAGGTGTTTAAATAAAGTTTGTGTAGATTACTACATTACCAATCCCACAACACTATCTTTGGTGTTTTCTTATGAACGAGGTCGACTCAACAATATGAGTGCCTGGAGTGTATCTCTGGTTTAATATAACTTGCTACGGAGTTCTTGTCACACTGGTATTAGTTTCAAATACAACCCTAACACACTTAAACCCCGGTATTACTCATAAAATCAGATCGATGACTATATTATTTATTGACATAAGTAGATATGCAAGGGCGAACCTGGGTGTTCAAGGTCGCGTGGAGGTGTCTTTGGAGACTAGGTCAAGGTGACGCTCAAGGGCATTAGCTTTCAAGGTTATCGGAGGTCAATGTCCCCATGTTTGGTGTTGTCATATTTCACTTCCCAGGTTCACACAAGTCCATGACTTCCATTTTTTGCAGCGTCACCTAGTAACTAGCGGCAAGCGGCAGAATTCCTTTCTGTTTCAACTTCAATAACTGTAGTACTAGTTCCAAATGATACCTACATGTCTCGGAAATGGTGGTAGCCCATAATAATGTTTGTGATTTTAGATGCAATTTTCCAGAAACTGTACGCAAGTTTAAGCGACAGTTTAGCAGTTCCATATTATTTCATGTTGCTGGCTACATTGTAACTGTATCTATGCTATTGGATGCTACTTGAGTCTCTATACCAACACACTGTGCTTTCAATCGTCAAACAATTCTCAAAATGACTTGAAATTACGGTCTCTCTCCCCATTTAAATTTCAGATGCTACTTTCTGTGATCTATGAATCTGTGACATGGAACGTTATTTTTTGAGAATTGTTTCTAAACTGAGAACACAGTACGAAACTAAAAAAACACTACTTATAAGTTATAAACCACGGACTGAACATCATAAGTGCTAAATCTACCGGTTAAGGATCATTCATTAGAGCAATACGAAGAGATCTACGACAAATTGCAAGAAAGGTACAGAGCTCAGAGTAACATTCCAAAATTATATCGTGAAATGAAAGTCCCTTGTACGTCAGACCTTTGAGAAGTAATCAACAAAATGAATAAATAATCGTAAACAACTTACCTTGATGCACCTCTCGCGGCTTCGGCAGATTCGTGACGCACGTGTGCGGACACATAAGCACATTGGCCGGATGCAGCGTTCCCTCCAGAAACCGCCTTTTCGTCTCGGACAGGTGTATTCCCCCTAGCGGAGTTTTCGGAAGGAAATTCGGCGGCACTAAAGTTAAACAGTAAATTCCGACTTGATGGATTGAATCGACTGCTTGAAGTACGCGCGACATCCACTGAAATGACTAATAATAAAGATTTTTAACACCTGCTCGAATAATGAAATATTATATGCGAAACCGTTAGTCCAGTGGCAAAAGGTTTTCCTACTAATCATTAAAGTAGGAATGCTTAAGGGATAGGATTAGTAAAGAAAAAGCGAGGTTTCCAAATCGGAAGATGTAGCATAGCGCCGCCATTTTGAGAATGTCCCCAAAATTTTGATTTGAATTTTGATCAAATTTTACCTTATTACAGACTTTCCATAGCGTTCCGGAGATAAGAACAATATATATTACCCCGAAAATTACAATGTGCCATTTTTCAAGATGGCGGGGCCAGTCTCGAAGCCTAGAATTTTGTTTTCTTTCACACATTCGCACAAGTCAAATGCTTTAATCACTACGAAAGCAGTCCCTTTTATGCAGAAACAGATGAAGTAATGTTACACTTTTAATAGATTAAACTATTACTGGTTGCAATAGCAACTTACCTCTTCTTCGCTACAATCGGGTCTTTGCTCAGCAATGACGCAAATTCTTTCATCTCTAAGAACTCTAATACTAAAAACGGCGATTCGTCCTCGATAAATAAACTTCATGGGTTCCACAGCCAAAACAGTTGCAATTATATCATCAGCGTTATGTTTTCTTCCGGTAACGGTCATCAAACCATCACGTGAACCGCAAACGAAAACCAAACCTCCCGGTCCCAAAAATCCCAACAGACCCGACCGCGTGTATTCCGCGTCGGAAAGCGGTTTGCCGTCCGCCGTTAACGGTTGTATCTTGAAGGTACTGTTGCTCAAACCTTGCAAACCCCAGTACTGAGTACCGGTGGAGCCGGAATTTACGCAAATTTCGCCGACTTCGTCCGTCTTGCATAGGTATGCCGGACCTTCCATTTTCACGACGACTATCACGCACCCGGGCATTACCTGGCCGCAATCTTGCAATGTAAGAGAAGTTAGACTGTTCTCTTGATCTACCCGTACGACACCGTAACTAAGTCCTTGCATTGAGAGAACGCCGCGACCGGTCGCGTTGACGCCCGCGCGTCCCGGTCTTCTCACGGAAACGGTTAGAACTTCGCTAGAGCTCGCGCACGGACAGATCGCGTCCGGTCGCAGGCCTTTCGCTTGGAATACTGATAAAAATTGATCACACGAACTGAGAGACCACGGATTAGCACCATCCGCGACTAGAAGCATGCGCAACGAGCTTAAACTAATGTCTTTGTGATCTTTAGTCGCTAACAACCCCCAGTGCAAGTCTCGCGATTTCACAACTGCAACACTTGCCCGGTACTTCGTAATCATCTGCATCCAACTAGCCGGATTCACTTTCATTAACGCGTACGGAATATAAATCACGTGCATCCCGTTTAGTATGCTCGCCAGTACGGAATGCCAAAGCCCAACTTCGCGCTTAAAGTCGAGAACGCACACCATTATTTCACCCTCGGTATAGTTACACGCCATAGTCAACGTACGGCAATGCGACAACATAGCTGCGCGTGTTATCGTCACGCCCATAACCGAGCCGTCCCGATCGGTACTGTACTCGATATAAGCCGGCGTCTCGTCGGTGAGTTTCGGCGGCGGCAGCCAGTCTTTCGGCGTACGCGTCAGATGCTCCGTGACGAACCAGTGCAGTTTCGGCCAGCCCTTAAACTGTATAACATCGCCGGCGGTGCTCTTCGGCAGGCCCTTCAGGCACGCCTCCGATGTTAAGGCCACTTGTACGCTGCAGCTGCCGAGCAGAAATCCGATCTGTTGCGAACCCGCGTCTCGTCTCGTAATCGGGACCTCGATCGGCACCGGAACTATGCCCGCCTGTAGACAGCCGTAGAACGCGCAGAGGAAGTTGATCGGGTCGTTGTTCGGATAGACGAGCGCGATTCGATCGCCGGTCTTGAGGCTTGTGTCGCCCGTCTTGCCGTAGGCTTTCGTTAGGAGGGCGTACGCGATTTTTTGCGAACGACTCAGTAATTTACCTGTAAGTGTAACGTTTAGTACACAATCATAGATAGTGACCAAAACATTCAAGTCATTTCTTTAAACATGTTCCACCAACGCAATCTAAGACTGTGGGTGGAGTATACTAGAATTATAATTTACCTTCGAAGTACCAAAGCACGTTTATTTCTTTCGGGAACCTTGGTACCTATATTTTCTTTTCGTTTGCAACCTAATTCTTTACTCAAGCTATAATCTGTTCACCCAACAGATGCAGTTAAGCCACTCCCAATAAATTTTGGCCAATGTAATAAGAGACCCGTTTCAAAGCCACAAAATTATAAAAACCGGGAAAAAATCGCATGTCACATTGTATGACTAAAGCCCATCACACAATGAAAAAAATAAGAAATAAGACATATGAAATAACAAATAAGGAATAAGGAGTAACAATTTTCAATCTACCGATCTTTATGGATTTGCACACAACACTGAAATATGAAATAAGCCTAGGAAATAAGACATTAAAATTTCGTTCAGTCGAATTTGTATTCCTTATTTCATATTGCGAACTAATGACATTAGAAGAGGCGCGCACGCGTTATCTATTTTCATTATTTTACCTTGTTAACCCAAAATAAAACAAGTATGAGGTGTTGTTTTTGTGAAGTTATGAACTTGGAAGTTGGAATTATATTTGATGTCGGTGCAATTAGCCTGCTATTGCTTTACATTTAGCTGCCATTATAATGACGTAATTCAAACGGTATGAGTGTTCAGATTGGCTTATAGTCTGTTGCTATTTGTTTGTTGTGTTTTGCGTGTACGGCGTCACTATTTCTTATTCCATATTTCATATTTCTTATTCCTTATTTTTTTCATTGTGTGATGGGCATAACTTATAAAGTGTTATGTTTTGAAATTTGAATATTGACCTTTAAACACATAGCAGTAGGTACATAGTTTCAAATTGTTTATTAAGTTCAAAAAGATTAGTTTGTTCGTATAAATGAAATTAACGGCAAATTGAGGCAAGGCAAATACAAAACGGCGCAATGACAAGTTTCACGTTAAGGATGTCAATTTAAATACGCCAATTATAATTGGAAGCAAATAGTTGCGTGTGTTACAGGTTTTGAAAATTCGACCAATTAAAAATGTTCATTTAAATTTGCCCGGAATTGTTTGGGAGGAGCTTAACTGCATCTGTTGGGTGAACAGATAATAGAAGATGAGAAACACTAGGACGTGGCTATTATATTAATTGCCGTTCAAGAGAAGGGGTTGCCAACACCATATCAGATTCCATCAAGCAAGTTCACTCTTACTTTATCATTTTTGGCCACCAATTTGGCTGTGGTTTACGCATAAGCACCAACTAAATTGGAATGGCCATACCAATAAGTACCACCCTCAGTACTGCCGTTAAGCAATTGTTGACGCTACTCATACCGAACCGAAGTATTTCTACCGCTTTGGATTTTCTACAGTCACAAACCAACGCATTTCCTAAACCAAAGGAATTCGAGATGCCTACATAGTACCTAGACAGTTTTCTTGTACTAACTAAATTATGTATGGATCACAGAGGAAACGTGGAACGCGGACAATTTACAATCGCGCGTGGTAGTAAAGGAAGATCGTCAAAATATGGCGGAAGGTGCTTAGATTACATTAAGTACCTAATGAACAATTCCGACAACTATTTTTTGGCTTTAGATAGGTCAGTGGCGGAGACGACTGTCAACTTTTCGAAATGTCCCTCGCGATTTGATGGATCCAAGGACAGCGACGTAAATGCTGCGTGTGCGTTTCGAACCAAAATGCTCTTAAGGGATTTCCCATGCTTTTAGGTGGATTTGCGCCTACATGGTTCCAGGGGTACGAACAACCTTAAACGACTGGAAAAGTGCGATCGAATTGCTGCAAACCTCTTTTGGTCCTGAAAGACCAACTCATCTTGGACAAATACCAAATGACACTTTCAAGTGAAACTATCCAAATGGATATGGTGTATGGTCTTTTACATCGCAAAATTCACAAAAGATTCCCACGATTCAGTGAATAGTTTTGCGGAACTTTTATAAAACGCACGACTCGCAGAACAGACTTTCGCTCCTCCTACCGACAAACCGCTATCGTTCTCAAATTCTGAAAGTAATCCGAATAAAAAAAGTGCATGTATTGCAAAAATGTTGGACATTTAGAAGAAGAGTGTCATAAACTTGCAAAACATTGTCAAGCACATGATAGGAATGAGAGTACATTTAAACTTGAAAGCTATCATCTATCATGTCATGGTTGTCTTACAAGCATCCCAGTGCAATTAATTTCAGTACCCCAAAACATAAAACAATCGAACATTACAGATTACTTGGAGTTGACTTCATTCATGCTACATACAAGTACCTAATCAATAGGACACCTTACCACTTTACCCACTCTCCAAATACCAACAGTGACATTGCCCAAAATACTTGCCTTGTAAATTCTATCCAGTGTGAGAAATAGAGAAAACAAAGGAACAGCCTTATCACCCAAAAAACGTACGGATTTGAATGAACTGCTGACCTCCTATGATGCCGTATTTGATCCCAGCGAGGAACCTACTCCATACGCTGAACATGCTGTAAGAGATAGCTATCTTATCGGTGACGGTGACGTGCCTTTGAATGCGTTGACTCATGAGGTACCCACTACCGTGAATAGGTGACATGTTACACGAAGGTAAGAGAACAAGTTACATGACAACCTTTCGGGGTACTATCAAATGCGACCCCATAGACAGAGATAAAACTGTGTTTGTGGCACCTCATAAAATATATGATTCTTCCGCATGCCGTTTGGGTTAAAAAATGCGCCGGATACATTCCATCGCCTGACGGTAGGTTTCAAGACGGTGATAGGCGACGTATTTTTGCTTGTTTATTTAGACGATTTGATCTTAATATCATGCAAACCTGTAGCTGAACTGAAAGAAAAAGATATCGAGGGCAGACCCACCATATCAAAGGTAAATTGTTACTAGATGTACAAAGACGAGATAAAGTGGAGTTAAGCCGTTATCAACGCAACATTGTTTTGGAAAAAATTAAGTCAGTACAACTATAGCGCGTTCGCATCTCTAGATGCAGTATGATGCTTATGGACCTACAGTACATGCTTGTCAAACTTATTAACAAACGTGACAATGACAGCGCAAGAAGATTATGTCAGTTTGGCATCATTGCCGTGAGGAACAAGGACAGCGTTATAGAACGCCAATTATTAAGAGGCATTTAGTCCATAAGACCCCATACTGCGTCCGGGGAGGTGCAAACCATCGTGCAAAAGCAGTCTAGATAGGGAAGCACTCCTGACTTGCAAAAGTCACCAAGTACGATAGTGGCATATGACGAAGTCGCGCTTATAGCGAGAAACTAAGATATTTTTAAGAGTGAAGATGAGTGACTTCGCCTTAGACATGGAGGTGTGAGTGAGGAAGGGAATCAATGGAAATAGAGCACAAGGTTTGCTCGAGGTTTGAAGAAGTTAACGATTTTATTTATGTAGGAAATAAGGGAATAAAGTGAAATAAATATGCAGGAACATGGAAAAGTGGTGGAGTCTTTCATAATTAAAGAAAGGGTATATAACGTAATACTAAAACCGACCGCATTATACAGAGACATGGACGTTAAATAAGCTGCTACAGAAGAAAATACTAAGGTGCGCTACGAATATATGTAGAGAAGACAAAGTGGTTATTGCGAAAGAAGAAGAAATAAAGAATTATATTAAATTTATCAACAAAATAATTCCCTGGAGGTTATAAAAAAAAGAAGACTGCAATGGTCAGAGAATGCCGTACCTTAGGACACAACCAAGGTTATTTTATTTCAAAGGTTACCTGGTAACTATGTGGGCGGAAGCGGGAGGGACGGAATGTATACGTCATCGAGAATACAGACATTGACGTTCGCCGTTATTTGTATTAGCGCGGGTGCTTATTTTTGTGGAATTTTCTTGAGTTATAGTTTATTTGTTTAAAATTTGTTGAATTTTGAAGTGCATAAGGACATATATTAGCTGTAGATCCCTGTTTGGTGCAATATAAAGACATTTAGTTTGTGAATTTTGTGGGTTTTCATTGCCGTGATTGGATTCTGGATTTGTGTTATAATTAAGTATTTTTTAGATGAGTGGCGGTAACACTAAAATTCCTCATCCTGATGTAAATAAAATCTCGGTTTTTACGTTTCCCAAAGACCCTACCGTTCTTAAAGAATGGGTAAGAAAATGTTTCACATCCGGCAGCAAACTAAAACGTGCTGCGCCGTCATTGGTCAAAACGGCTAACCGATGAAAGCGTAGCGTCCCTGGCCGCAAACGTTTAAAAGCAGAGTCACGAACTCTGCAAAGTGCGACGCAATTCCTGCTTCGACTGCACTTCAAGAAACAAAAAGCTCTCCATGCAGAACCAGGTCGCCTTGCCAGCTCGACCTCGTGCCACACCCCATCAGTCAGAAGACCTGCATCTGCGCTCACCCCAACGACAGAGCTCGCCGGGTGCACCTCGGTTACCATTTTGTACATACTATAAATATACATATTCCATAAAACGCAACAGCATTTTATTTGGCGTCATCCGCTAAAGAATGTTTAGAGTTTTAATTCCCAAAGCTTAGGTATTGATACACAGGGGTGGTTCCTATTTTGTAGATCGCAAAATTTTATCCATTTCCACCTCTAAAATTAATTTGATTACATTTTCACAAGTTCTCGTGCAATGTAAAATAGCTTACGCACCACACTCATTTTTTCAATACTTTGATTGCTTTCAAAGGTGGAAGTCGATAAACTTCCAAGATTTCCAATATAAGATCCACCCTTATATACATATACCCATATAAATCCAAAAATATGCTGCAAAAACTAAATTTTTTACCCCTTTTATTAGCATTGTAACCTATGAGCAATTTTAAATGTGTATTCTGGATGACGTTTTCCCGCCTTCAAAATGCAAGCATTCTATTGGTTTAGAGTTACCAGACAACCTTTCTAATAAAACAACCTTGGGACACAACCAATTAAACAAACAAAAAAGTAGATCAAGAAGCTGTGGAAACAGACATAAGAAAACAAGAAAATCAAATCGATCTCTCTTTGTCAGCAAATTTCTTCTACAACTAAACAGTAGGTATAGCGAGCTTGTAAACTACGGGTAGGTACCTATAAAGCCCCATTCGCATAGGTGGTAGTGCAGTGCTGTTGCGGTGCGGTGCCTTTGTATAAAAGTTTGAAATACGCATACTCATATGACCATTCACAATGACATGTGCAGTGTAGACGAATTGCAGCCGCGTGCCGAAAGTATGTAAACTTCAAACTTTCTGCACTACCGTTAGCAAGCACCAATAGAAGCGCAACATATTTGTTGCTGTTGTCGTTGATTGGTCATACTTGTGTAGGCGAGCCAATTTTGTGGCGATTTTGAAAGCAAATGTCAATATGACAGCACCTGCCAGCACCGCACAACAAGGCAACGGCACCGCACTACCACCTATCTGAATGGGGCTTTAATCTCGGCTTTCTGAGAGAGAAGCTTTTCCATCAAAACTCTTAGTACTAAGTACTTACATACCAGTGTGAGTTCCTACTGGAAAAAGTGCAAACACTGAATAACACTAATTTAACTGGTCCATAAGAGACAAGAAATGACTTGGATGCTTTGCTCATTTGCTGTAAATTGAGTGATATACCATATGTAAGTGTCGTGGTTAATTTCCCGTTGGGATCCAACACCGTTGCGACGGGTGCCTTAAACGACGCCGACCCGTACCTCGAGACGGCAGCCTCCAAATTTCTGGGCAGCCCCGAAGGGACCACAAGCTGTTCGCCTACCGCTGGTGTCATACACCCTCCTGGAATTTAATCGTGAGTGATTTACCGACTACCAATCCGTCGACTTACCTTCCGGTTTGGGTGCATTCGGATCTTTGGGGTTGGCGGCGATTTCCAGCTCGATATCGTCGTCCTCGTAAAACTCTGGGAGTGGTCGGCGCTTGGGCCTCTTGAGCGTGTTGAGCAGCTGCTGGATTTTCGCCGAGACCTTCCATCGGCCCGGTCCCGTGCCCATGGTGTCGTCGGATCCGGACGAGCCGTACCGGTTGACGCGATCCGCCGCCGTTGTTCTTCTTCCACCTTGAGCCGATGTGTGCGTGACATCGGGCGGTTGGGAATCTAGCAAAGGAAGGGTGTTAGCGGTTGGTGGAGTTGGCGACGTACTTACAAGGTCGAAAATTTTGCATCACATCCGTTATGTCGGTAATTTCGTGTTTGTTGCGTAGGTCCCAGTTGTTCGGCGGAGGTAACCGGGTTCGGTGGTGGAGCGGCGGCGGTGACCCAGTGCTGCTGGTGTCGGAGAGTGGCGGTGGAGGTAACATTTGAGGTGTGCTTCTGTCCCTTGCTCTTTCCCTTTCCGGCGTACTTTCCACCGTTTCCTCATTTACTATACTGTCTTCATCCGATGAGGATTCTGCAAAATTGAACAGGTTTCGATTAAAAAATTTAGCGCGGCGGAGGTCAACGGACCGCGACATTATTTTAAAAAACGACGCATTGAGGAGACTTAACAACTGAATGCAACGTAACCGTAGACTGAATACGAACAGTGAAATGACTTCAGAAATGAGTCAGAAGGAACCCAACCTGAGATGAGAGGAGAAACTTTTCGTCCGTCCTTCTCTATTATTCCTTTTGAAATGACCGATGACGACGATCTCTCTTGTATAGGTAAATAAGAACGTAATTTCTTACCTGGTAATGTCAATTAGTTTAAACGTATCGAATGTAAGCGCGCGGACAAGGACGTGTTCATAACAAGTTTGTTTTACATATATAAATTAAGTAATTGAAGTATATTAGAGACGGATAAAGCCGCGAGTTGACCGGGTACAATTGTTGATAAGATTAGACAAACAATGCAGTATCTGTCCGTAAACAAAAGATGATTGATATAAAAATATGAGATTAATACAACTAATTACTGGATAGTTTAAATAATTACTTAGTTGGTTTGCTAATTTCATAATGTAGATAATTCGGTATTGCGAGAATCGCACAATTAGTCAACGGCGGATTTTCCGCGAACGCGTGCGCGCTATGATTCAAATTTTGCGGAGAAACGTGGAGTTTAAGTTGCAGGTAGGTGGTGACCATACCTGTTTTACGGAGACAATGACATACCGAAACTATTTAGATTTTAACGGGTCGACCTTAAAAATAAACAAAGGTGTTTTCTGTTTTGTCTCGCGCCGAGAGAGTTAAAAAACTGGTGGAAAAACGGTACATTACCGATTTCAGTAACGGATATTACAAAGGGGTGGGGAATGCGGGTGCAACTTGTGGGCAATATGCGTTTCCGTTTTAATATTAGAAAGGGTTCATTTTGATATTCGATACAGACTGGAACTTGTAGGTTTTGAATAGTTTTAGTGTATTTCTAATTGGGTGTCCTTTTTCATGGCGTCTGTAAAGTTAGTGATTTATCATTAAAAAACCGCCGAACGTGGAAATAACACAATTAATTTGTTTCTTCGAAAATAATGCCTATTCCTATTACCTACTGATCTCCAGACTCTGTGCTAAACCACCATCTTTAAAAATGGCGATCGTCTACTGCGGGGCCGCGTCGTTCTCTAGCCTGGTCATTGAAGGTAAATTACGGCGATTTGCACAAACATTTGGATTTAGGTTCTACAATCCTTCACTAATGGTTCTACGTACTCTCTACTTCAAAGGTTACCCTGTGCCGGGGGTTGCTTTTCATTTTTGAGTGGCGAAAACTACCCCTATTCAAAAATAATTTTAGAATTGTAGATTCGAGCGTATAATCAATTGAAATCACTTTTAAATAAGTTTAATGAACGTCAAATTATGATTTATTAAACAGCTTTGCCCCTAAAAGTCACTCCCTAGAATAATTATAATTTTAAAAAATGTCTTCAAAGAGTTATTTAGCAACTTCGAATAATTAAATGCCCCAATTTGCATGAACATTTGGATTTAGGTTCTACTTACCCTCTACTTCAAATATGAAACTGTACCGTTGGTTGCTTACTATTTTTTAGGGGAGAACACTACTTCTGTATGCAGATAATTATTTTATTTTATTTTTTTATTTTGCCTTTATTTTTAAGTGGGCGGGCTTTCAGCCGAGGCTGCTCTACCAACCCAACCCACTCTACATTTACAAATATCCATGCCCGAACCCGGATTCAAACCAGGGACCCTGTACCACAGTCGAGCTTCCACTGAACTGCGCTACACGGGCCGACTTATAAAATTATAGATTCATGTTTGTAATCGAAATCTTCTTTAAATAAAGTAAATAAACATCAATCGAAAAATGATAGTTTTATTATTAATGATAAACAGACCTGTTGCCGTCGAAAAACAGAACTGAATCGAATGACCTTGCACCTGGCGCATGCGCAGAACTCAAGGTCAAAGTGAGCCCGGATCGGTGTTGCTTATCTACTCCCGTTCTCCTCTTGATCCATAATTGAAGCACTATTTGGATTTGAACAATTGTCTCCGCTGCATTTATACAGGGTGTTGCTAAATATGACAGAGGATTTTTTAAGAAGTATTAAGTACTGGGGCAAATTGAAAATAAAATTAGTCGGGGGGGGGGGGGGGTAAAACTACAGTCAAAAGATCTGATTGACGATGTCGAAGTCCGGCAGCCGAGAGAATATGTACTGTTAAAATCATGGGATTTAATTTATGCACTAAACATCCGTTGTGACAAATTCATTCTACAAATGAAACCTGAAACCGCAGATTAGTGCGGTATTTTAGTTCTTAGTTATTACTGCTGACAGGTCCCTTTAATAATGCTTTAAAGTTTAAAGCGTGATAGCCGACAAAATCCTCGAAAAAATAAGTTGGTTGTAGGTAGGTAAGTACCTAGAAGTAGTAAAATAAAATAGATAAACACTGCGGTTTTTAAAGTTGTTATTGTCGTCAATGACTACATAGGTACTTGGTACCTATTTGTTATTTTAGGCTAAACGCGGTTGATTTCTGATTAAATACTGAATACCTACTACTACAGAGAAAAGTATTGCGCTACATATACATGCCCAACTCTGCATTAAAAAAATTAAAAACTACATGGGTAAATGAGCGCATCCGGTAGTTTACATGTTAAAAAATCCTCTGAAATATGATGTACCTAAACACGGAAGGGGCTAGTTCTTTAACTTATTTTATGACTAAAAAAAGTTCATATAAACATAGGTCCGCAAACGCTTCGTTACCGATCTACAGGATGTTATAGTTCTACCGTATACGTTACAATAGCCAGTAGGTATGCTTACACACAAGATACAATTTTCAATACCAACTGTCAAAACTAATAAAAACAAGATATTATCCAAAGTCAGAGCCACAGGGTTGTATACAGTGATATTCATTTGAAAGTAGACCTAGGGATTTCGTATATCTAGTTTTAAATGACAAAAACACTTCTGAAGGGCGCCTAATTTTATGCAACCAAAATAACTTCTTAAAACAAATGAAGATTTTGCTGTCATAGTAATTAATATTAATATTACGGCTTTGGCTTCCGTATTTTTATTTTCGTTCTTGTTCAATGTATTCAACTGAAGAAAAAGTTGATATTGCAAATTGGTATGGTGCCGGTAATAGTTTAAGGAGCGTAAGAGATTTATTTTATGCATTAAATGAATGGAAACAGCAGCCAAATTTAACATCTCTTCATCATAACCTAAAAGCATACTATTTCCGGTCATTTTTTTAAATTAAAATCTAGAACGATATTGCAAAAGGCGTGCGCATGTTATTTCAGTTGCATAAAATTAGGCGTCTTTCAGAAGGATTTTTGTCATTTAAAAGTAGACATAGGAAATTCCCGGCCGTTGAAACTATATAGGTATGTGGTCATTGTAGTTGGAATTATTTTTCCACGCGTAGGTTCTATGTACTGCTTCTCTATTTACTATATACAAGTATGTGGTCAGAGCCTACTGGATAATTATAAAAATTACACTTTCAACGATCGTTAATACGAAACAAATACAAGAGACCATTAAGTTTCCAAATAAATCACAAAATCAAATTCTTATTTTAAAATCTACCAGTGGCGCACCAAAAAAAGTTCAGAGGTATAGAATAGACGGGACTTTTCGGCGGCGGTACTTATCGGCGGAGGGACGTTTCGGCTGGCGGATGTTTCGTCGGAGCGCAATTCGACGGATTATATACATGCTGATTTGCAACGGCAATTGCGAATTAATCAATCGCATTAGGATTAAGCTTGAGTAAATGAGTACTAACGACAACATTTCGGACTCGCAGATAATGCGATTATACAGATTCACGTGTTCACCATTGGGATTTCTTTTTTGTAGTAGTAGGAAAAGACTTCAGACTTCAGTACATGGACGACACCTTCTTAATCACGCCTCCTTTGTTCGGTATCTTCGCTGGAAGAGGAGGAGGCTTTGTCTTTCCGGTGGCTTTCTGACTGCTCGCGAACAAAACAGCAGGAAAGTCCAGGGCGGTCCAACTGCTCAAGGAAACGTTCAACTGGTTCAACTCACAGACTGTAAACGTCGACTACGAAGTGAGTATTCCACAACGTCATTCGAATTTCCCGAGGCGACCATCAACGGGCGGTTCTTCCACTTGCTGCTGAAGCGATGCAGCACAGACGGCGAATTCGCTCTACCAGCACAAGTGATAACGTCGATCGCCTTTGTTCCGGAAGGTGACGTGAGGGATGTCTGGAGCACTGAAGAACCACCTCCCACCGGAGCTCGAATCTGTCCAGGGTTGGTTCACGGAAGATTACATTGGACATCTGCGAAATAAGTTCACACGCGCGGCATCAATTTTTCCGTATTCCATGTGAACCCTGAACGCGGAGAGTAGTAATAGAGGGCCGATTCTAAATCTAAAAGTCACTAGACGCGAAAAAGTCACTTTAAAAGTAACTAGGTTTGGAACTCTGTTAGCGAGGTTTGCGCCTGTGCTAACGTCAAGGTGTCGAAGCTTGCGTCCGAGCTAAAGTAATTTGGTTTGCGCCTGAGTCGAGGGTTCTTGTCGATGGTAGTGTACGGCCGATTCTAAATCACACTAGATGAAAATCCCCCTGGAAAAGTCACTAGGATTGAGTGGTTCTGAACTGCGCTCGCGAAGTTTGCGCCTGAGCTAACGTCAAGGTTCTTGTCTAAAACGAATATATGGCTGTTTCTAAATCACACTAGCGTTAAGAGGTTTGCGCCTGGGCTAAAGTAATTTGATCATGTTGGGGGTTTGCGCTCGAGATGAAGTGGTTTATTTATGAACTGAAGGTGGTATATAAAGGATAGGAATGAGTGCTGTAACATTCATCTTGATACAGAAAGAGCATCCGTTACGATGACAAAAACAGCACCAACCACAAGGCCGCACATCGGAAATCGGAAACCCTACGATATGGGGGTCCATCAATCAGCTCCGAATAGTCCAAAAATGTATACAGACGCCGAATATGAAGCTTTCGTCGTCGGCTTTTAGGTTTCAAGGAAGTCCTGGGAAGCCGACGATAGGATTCCAAATTTCAGGATTGCGATGGTAACAATACGATCGAATATTTAAGAGGGCTTTCTCATAAACAGTCCTCACTAACGCGATTGATTATAGCAATTGCCGTTGTTCTAAATCAACATGTATACAATCCGCCGAATCGCGCTCCGCCGAAACATCCGCCAGGTGAAACGTCCCTCCGACGAAAAGTACCACCACAGAAATGTCCCGCCGTCGAAATGCCTCGTCCGTCATAACGTTACGTCCGCCGAAAGGCCTCGCCGCCGGAACGATCGCTGTCCAAACGCGCTCCGCCGAAACGTTGGCACCGGAAAATAAAATATGACTCCTGAAAAAATAGCACCCTGTACATTCTCATTGCCATTGACTTGAGCAATTATGTAAGCCCTTCAGTGTAACTTAAATTTCAAACTTGAGCGAAATATATAAAAAAAACGGCAGGAATCATTAAACTTTAACACCCTGTAGATCGGGTAACGAAGCGTTTGGAGACCTATGTTTATAAGAACTTTTTAGTCATAAAATAAGTCAAAAGAATTAGCCGCTTCAGTACCTTTTTGCTTCCCAGAGTTTTTTTGAGGATGTCGGACCGATTACAGAATCCAGTGGCGTAGTAAAACGATGTTTCTGAAATTTGACCCAAAGTTGATATTTTTTTAATGTAACACTTCGCATTCGCACCACTCTGCATTCTTTTTTCTGATTACATTGATGTTTCACAACCTACAAGGTTTTCAGGGCTAAAATTAAAACAATATATAGATCGTGATACATCAATGTAATTAGGAAAAAATGCAAAACAATTGACATTAAGATGTACAGGGTGTTGCATTTACAAAATACCAATATTGGGCCAAATCTCAGACCGAAGTCCAAAATTCGTTTTTACTACGTCACTGGTTTCGAAGTAAAAATATCTAAAATAGAAAGTATTTACCTTTTTCTATCTTAAATAAGTAGTAAGATACGATAACATATCAAAGTGTCACTTTGCGTTTTCGCCCTGTATCTCAGAAACGAAAGTAGTTAAAATTAATTCTGTTTGTGGTATTAAGTTTCACAAAAAAGAGGCACAGGGTCGCGAAAACCACAACTCTATTGTATAACAATTTTCAGCCTTAGTAAATTCATTTAATTACCTCGACACGTACGGCAGGTTCGGAAGTGTACCAGAGGCACGTGTTCTCAGTTTCGCTTGACTGACCGCACTATACAAAAACTAGCCTTCGTAAATTCAGAGACATTTGTGGGCACTGGCGCTCCGTCTATATTTTTCAAACCTGTCCAGGCTTCTCTAGCTCACAAGGAAGCCCAATACACGTGGCAAAAAGGAAGAAGAAAAGGAAAGCTCGCTAACGGTGTAGAAGCAATTTAAAGAGTTTCTGAAACGCATGACTGAACAGTTTTGCAAAAAGTTATGAGTACTTTCCGGTGTACTATTACTACATTTCCCTTTTGCTTCATTTTTGCTAGTGTACGAGAACCCCGGTATTCACCCCGACCCACCGCTACTTTGCCTGAGCTTACCGCGTGTTTATCTCGTAGCAATTTTGTTACATTTTATAACAATCGACAATAGCTCCCAAAAAACACCCTGTATATACTTTGCAGTGTCTAAATGTCTTTGAGAGTATTCGAAAGTTTTCCACATTTGTGTAGGTCGGTGCAGGGCATTATAGCAACCCTCAAGTCGCTCTTTCTGGGCCCTATGAAGCACTCCATTTCCTTTCCAAAATATTATATTTCCTGTATAGGTCTTTTTAGACTATTTACAGAACTTTCCAGGTCTTCCCCTCAAATATTTATGCACTGGAGCTGGGCTAAAAAATCGTCCTATTTGCTCTATTGTAGTTTTAAGCGCTTTTTTGCATTTTAGCCCTAGTTCGATTATTTTAGATTTTTAAAACATTTTCCATTCCCTTTTTCAGGCCTTCCCTATAACAGTCTGGATCCCTCCAGATTTTTATAGTCAATGGATTTCTACATTTTCCAGAGCCTTCTATGCTCTATCGAGAGCACTCTTGACCCTATGTAGGCTCGCAAAGCTCTGATAAGGATCGGGAAAGGGTCTAGGGCATCTGTTTTCTGCTGTGATTTTCCAAAAAAACCTGTCCATGAATAAAATTACAAACCGTACATTTGTCACAAGACTGATTTTGGTATGGTTCTGAAATTTGCCAGTATAGGAAATTTTATACGTGTACCGCTTCATAGTGAAAGGGAACGAAATTAAAATACGATAGAATGAAGCGCTTTCAGATAAGAAGCGAGTGTAGAAACAGATAAGATTCAAAATGCCACAGTGTAGCCGGTTATAAAGATCGTTCTTACGGAGCCTGAGAGACGGACTTTGTGCTATACCCTTGCATGTGCATAAAAACGTGGTCGAAGCTTGGTTTCCGTTTAGGAAAAATTGGGTGAGAGAGAAATTCTTCTCTGAACCGTCGTGCGCGGCATTTTAGATCACGTAAAATTTATTTTCAACTGAAAGTTTCAAGACGAATCCGTATAATCGAGAAAGATTTAACAGTCGCCTACGTGATATTTATATTGCGAAAATAGAAGTTAACTGCGAGAATTACAAAGGAAAACTGTGTGGCCAGTTCGACGAAATTGTTGTCGGGTGTGCTTTTAAATTTAATGCGAGTTGCCATCACCGGTGAAACTAATATAAAGTGCCGTATTTGCGCAAGCGAACACTTTCGTTTTGTTCCATTATTGAATTAGCGTGATGGCGTTTAAGTAAAGTACAGAACGTTTCATTGCGTTTATACTTGGAGGGGATAGTTAGAATAAAAAAACCAGTTTATTAACTAAATTTGGGCGCCTCTCTTGTTTAAATGGGGCGATAATACGATTCTGGATTAAACAGCAACCGGTAAAAAACTTAAAGACGATTAATCAGTGCTTTTGCTAGTTGTTAACCACTAAGTATACAAGGGGACATTTCCATACTGTGGAACATTGGCAAATTATTACAATGAATAAACAACATTTCAAATTACTAAATTTACTATTACTAAAAAACGGTTCAATTGTATTGCACAAGGCGTTTCGCGATCCAATTTTCCGAATTGCTGCCACCTTTCGAATGGAGATAATCGACTGTAATTTAGATAAAACGTCGACTTATTGATAAATGTAAGTTATTTGAAATTTTTGCATTGTATAAAAACAGGAGTCGCTCGTCTAGAAATTTTGTAGAAACGATTTATGTTTATAGTCATTCTAACATTCCTGAAGAAGTCGACCCACGGAAGTTTATTCCGTGAACATATTTGTATGTTTTTTTATGAATGATAAGCAAACAAAACAAGAGATTTGGATGATTTTTTAATTAATTGTGACGTTCATTGATCCCATTCTTTTATGTGGGTTAAATTTCAATTACCGTCCACAGATGTGTAATCTTTTGTACCTCATGTGTTGGATTAATTGCAAGTAGTACAAAATCTAGGTAATTAATTATATTTGAAACGTGATCACGAAACAGGAATTGAAATGAATTACATCAATATTTTAGATTACGAAAAATGTAAAGAAAAGTGAGATTGGAACGATACTATTTTCATGAATATATTCAAACAATCCAATTTACATGAGTATTTATTTGAGAATGATCAGATCAGAGCATCAGGTTTTGATTTCAGATCATAACGTGAAATGAACCAACTTTCCGGAAAGTAAGAGCCAATAAAAGTTTATTTATTACTGAGCTAGCCGTGGATTAAATTATTTCATTACAAAAAGATTAATTGTTAGGGTAAAGTTTTTGCCAGTGTCGTAGAGATTAAAATGTAATGTATGCAAGTGTTGTAAATGTAACTAAACCGTTACAATGGGTATAATTCATAGGAGTTAATTCATGTATTGTAAAAAAAATGCGGGAAAGACGAAAGCATACTTCCAGAGCGATATATACAAAAATTAATTGCTAATAAAGTCCAGTGTAAACAGGATTATCTAGAATTAGGATTAAAGGTGTCGTCTCCTGTAATGTATGGAGTGTAATTAATACTGTGCTAATTTCTGTGCGTCGTTTTTAAAAATTCCACCTACGTTCGCTGTATACAATAGAATACAAAATGACAAGGTGTCATAGCGAACGTGGGCTAAGTCTTCGAGAATGTAAATTTCAATTATAAAACAAATCTCACCAGAATCCCGTCTATCCCTGTCAGGACTTCTTGCCATAACGGAGGTTCTCTTGGACGGCATCGGCAATGAGGGTTTATGCCTATTCTGCATAGCCTGAGCCAACGCCTGCTGTACAGCCTCTTGTCGCACTTCTACAAACACATACAAGGTTTTAGTACAATGCGACAATAAAATCGGCGAGTAAATACAAACGAATACGAAACAACCAGCGAACATGCGGGTCGAACAACCCTTACTATATATACATATACAAGTCTCCTTATCAGAAAACACAACGATACGGCCGCCGTAACGTTCCTTATTTTAGGTTAAAACATAACAGTTACGTTATTGTTCGTTTTATCTGGCTTTTATTGTTCCGTCGAAATGTATATGGTGGTTGTATTTATAAAAGATTAGAATTTATTGTTATATCCCCATTCCGAAAAGCACTCTCTATAGCGGGTAGGAATATTGTTATTGCACGCCGCTCGAAATTGGGGCGAATTAACAATGTTCACCTGTCACGTCACGACCTCGACGAGTATATTAAAAATGTAAGACTGCAAAGTCCTAAAGGACTGTTGTAACGTCGTACATTTCGAGCAACGTTTATAAATTTTCATTATTACCTTGCTCGGCGAGCGTATACGAAACTAGAGAAGAAAAGCCACTTAGGAGGAAAGTGTAAGGTACTACGCGTCGCCTAGATATTTTAAATTATTGCCCGTCCGACCCTTTTCATTTTTGAAATGCCCGACCTAGTTCGCCAATTGGATTATTAAATTTATAAATAAATGAACGAAGGCGTTAAGCCGCGGAGATTTTCCTTCTCCTTTCGCAGTATAATAAATTGGTTTTGAGCCAAAGGCGCGGAGGTCGTAAGGGTTGTTTGGGTAGAAATTGAAATGGCAAACAGAAACGCCAGCGGCGCAATGTCATGTTAAGAGTACCATCAAAGTCTTGCAGAATGCAGAGTGATTGGGAGAAGGAAGATACAATAAACCTCGTCATCAATAACGCTCTCCGGGAAATCTGTTTTTGGACTTCGCGCGCCTAAGGAAGTTTACGTTTGTAGATTAGGAGGCAAAGCAGAAGCAAATAATTGGAAAAAATGACAAAGGGGACTCCATTTACTATTTTTTAAATTTGCATAACAAATGAATTTATCTCTTTTGCATTATGTTTTTTAGATCAAATTTGAATTCGCAATGATTTACTCTCGCTGTTGCTTTAAAATAATGTTACCATGTCAACATAATCGATTTATGTCATCTTCAGCAGTTTTTGAAATATTTTGACTTTCGTCGATTTGTTGTATTTCTATTCATAAAATAATTTAGCAAATAAAAATACTCGTAACATAAATAATTTCGTATTATTATATTATTTATTATTTACAGTTATGAACATCAAAATATTTCGAAAAATGGTAAGAGATATGTATGGAACATTATAAGAATAAGTGAAAGGATGACATAAAATATAGGGTGTCTCATTTAAGAAACTGACATATACGGGTATGAAATTTTGTACCTTTAGATCTATATAAAAAACACCCGGTAAATAAACTTTAAAATATTGGATACAACAAATGTTCATTTAAATTTAAAAAAAATGGTTGCAAATTTTAAAAAATCGTAAAAATTAAAAAAAAATTTAAAAATTAAAAAAAACCTTCAAAAATTCAAAACAGTTGTAAACATTCGTAGAAATTTAGAAGAAATAACAAGACGCCCACTCAAAATTTACAGAAGAATTTTAGAAAATTCAGATATTCAGCAAAACTTTTAAACTAAAAAATTGGAAAGATTGGGAAACTGGCGCAAAGATTCGCGAATAAGAATTGTAAGTTCGTAAAACGTAAAACTACTATAATGTGTATGAAACAAATTCAGGAAGAAAAAGCCGAAAAATTCGGAATACAGGAAAATGAATAAGAACAGGCAAAAAATCGAAGAAATGAAGGTTCATAAAAATTCCAAACATTCAGAACATTTAGAAAATACAATAAAAAAATGCGTAATATTCAATAACTTAAAAACATTCTAATAGATTGAAAACATATTAAGACAAACAAAAATTTTAAAAATACAAACGTTCTCAAAAATTTAAAACAAAGATGAAGATCACTGACAATTTGAATAAATGAAAAAATGAAGTACTTCAGAAGAATTTTAGAAAATTCAGATGATGCATTAAGAAAAATTAGAATTTTCAGAAAAATTCAAAATATTTGAAATAAACAAAAAGGGAAAGACAACCAAAAATTTAGGAAAATTAACATTCAGAATAATTGGAAAAACTTTAAACGTAAACAAATTCACGCAAAAAGAAGAGATTTGAAAATTCATCGAAATACAGAAAAATTACAGTAAATGTGCACAAAATTTGCAACTCCGACTAATTCAAAAATTTATAAAAATAAAAAAAGTGAAATCTCAACAAAGATCTTGCGAGAAAATTAAAAATCTTTAGAGGTTTTCAAATTAAAAAATTGTCGAATATTAATCTCAAAAATAATTTTATTATTTAAGAATTATTGAAATACCCAAAGAAATCGTTTTAGAAGGAATATGTGGACAAACTCTTGAAAAAATTTTTTTCATAATCTTCCTAAAATTGTTATTTTTTAAGAGCGTTAGAAACCGTGAAATCTCTTAGATATGTTCTTAGAAACGTTCTTGACTGCTTGGAAATTTTAAGCACGATTCAGAACATAAAATGTTAGGTCTCTAGATAAAGTCTAAAATAAAAATAAAAAGAATGCAAATGCAAGGCCAATGCGATTTTTTTCTTATAATTCGAATTTTATTTAATCTTACTTTTTTGTTGGTAGAAACTTCTGGTCTTCTACTTTATCATTGCACCCTGTATAATTTAATTAAACTGTCCTCCTTCTTTCTAACCCCCTATCAAAAGAGGTGGTTGGGGGGGGGGGGGAATTGAATTGTTTTATCCTTCATGGTACTCTAATGAAAGGTTCCAACAAAGGGAATTAGTTTCTATCGACTACAGTCCTCCTCCTTGACCCCTTATCATGATCGGATATAATTCCTCATCTCTCGAGAACAGATTGTCGGAGGAGCGTACTCACAAAGGGCGATTGAGACGTCTAGAAGAATGTCAACACTTTTTTAAGAGCGAATATCTCGAAAACGGTTTTTGGGAGGAAAGTACTCACAAAGGCAAAATGAATCATCTGGGAGACATATCTATTGGTGAAAAAATGTAGGTCGAATAAAAAAACCAAGCACCTTGTATAAACACTTTATATGGCGATGAAATTCTACATGAAAAAGTGCTATAAGAAAGATTTTTCCAAAATAGATTATCTTTAATAATAAGAAAGTTATGGAGTATTAAAGAAATCGACTAAATTCGAGAAATGTCGCCTAGGGGCCAAACGATTAGAGATAGAAGAATTCTGTTTGCACGAGTGATTTTCTCTCTTAACATTGAAATCCAGACACCTACGTCCATTCTCTTAAAACAGAGGGCGTTTCCAGAAGAAAGTGTCCAATTTGGACCACCCTGTACAGAACCCTTTTCTGGTTTTACTTGAACGCAATACCTTTTTCTTCTTTGTCAAATGTGAAGTACAGTTGTCCTTAGCAGCCCTAACGCTATCTCCTAAAGTATTCATCCGATATTCATTAAATTTCAGATATGATGAACTGGAATTAAGTTAAATAAAATTATTTATGAAAAAGTGCCCTTTTTGTATTTCACCGGCATCTTCACATCGATCCTTCACATGGAAACAACGTCACGCCTTAGTTCTGACACCAAGGGCACGACCTCGGTGCATAAAGAGCGTCACACCTTAATTACGCAACTAAGGTCAAGAGTCAAGACCTTGTACCATTCACCAAGACAACCTTCACTTAAAAACCCGAAACCACACTTTTGACCTAAAATACAAGGCCATCGCCAAGACTACGACCTTGTGATGTCGCAAACAGTGGTGGGAGTAGTGCCCCAGTTCTATTCACATGTGCGAAGGACTATGGCCGTTGAATAAAATGGTGTTTTAATCGATACTGTGGTCAATTTGCATGCGTAGATTAATACCTTGTACCGGGTGACCCAATAAGACTGTTCCTCGGCCATATCTCGGGAACCGTTTGTCGTATGACTTAGGGGTAAAAAAATTATTGGGTAAATCGCTTATGAAGAATGTAATCTTTTACATGGTTAGGTTAGGAACGAGATTTTGAAAAACGGTTTTCACTGGCCTCTTTGGGTGTTATTTGGCTACTTTTTCATAAAGAAAAAGTCATATCATTCTTTTTTTTTGGATTTTGGATCATAGTGTCAAAACTAGCCCCCTGGCGGAGAAGGATTCAACTAAATTAACTATATTTCTGATTCTTGATTCTTGTTGCCCAAGGAATGCTCTTTTCAACGATACCAAATTTGTTACAATCGGTCAAACGGTTAAGAAGTTAAAACAGGTTATTGCAAAAACAATTGAACGCCCCACGCCACCTTTGTTTTTGAAATAACTGAGCTGTTGTTTTTACGAAAATGATAAACTGGTTCTCTCTAAAATTGTGAAAAAAATTTTTTGTGTTTATTATGCAAAATTTAAAGAAATTTTAAAATTTAAGATGGCAGTTACGCCCTCTGTTGGTCATTTTTGGAACTTGAAAATATTTTCCAGCGATTATTCATGACCGATTTACCCAATAATTTTTTTTACCCCTAAGTCATATGATGAACGGTTCTCGAGATATGGCCAAAGAACAGTCTTATTGGGTCACTCGGTACACGATGTCCGAATGTTGATGGCTCTTATAGGGAAACTTTTTGATCCGTACAAATATTGCTAACTGGTTTTCAAGCTTTTCTAAGAAACCTGAATTGCGCTTGGCAATTGTGATCAATCTGACATAGCAACGGTCAATATAAAAAAATAGCACAATTAGTTTCATAGCAAAAAAGCACATGAAATACAAGGAATTCTTAATTACATTAGGTTTTTACTACTACACCTATGTACGAAAAAAGCACAACCACACAATTACTTTTTTTTAAAAATGTCATTTATTAAATATATCGAAAAAACCTAAAGAATTGAGGTTGTAATCGAATTTTATATTTTTCCCATACTGCACGGTTTTCCAGTTCTAATACTTACAATCGTTTTCCAAAAGAAATGTGAGTTCAATGACTTTCAAAAATACTTGTCCACTTTCAAAAAAGCTCAATTTCGGGCTACAACAGATAACTCTCAAACCGTGCCAAAACTAAAAACGTAATCTAATGCAAAATTCGAGTATACCTTGTAAGATCCGGTATATAAATAACATAATTCAAGTTATTTCAGACACAAAATTAGAGAAATTTGTTGATTTATCATTTTAATGTTAGTTTCTTATTGTAATTGTTTAGGTCATTTAATTCTATTTGTTGTATTTAGTTTGTATGATAAATTTTTTAAAACGGGTAACTTAAGGAACATTGAATGGACATTTTTAGGTGAGTTTAAAGTTTTATCTGGTCAGGCGATGGTAAAAAGTTGTTATCGGACAATAATTAATTGGTTTTTCGACAAACAATGTCACGTGCGAGATAAACGATGCAGGCGTTTTATCAGTCCTGGCGGCGTAGATGGAATTTCGAGTGTCGTCAGGAATCACGATGTTGATTTTGTTAGAGGAGATGGTTTTTGTTTGAATAGGAGGCATGAATAGTAAACGGGGCTGTTCTATCCAAAGGGACTATTAATCCTTCAATTTTTTTTCTTACAAGATTTGGAATTAATGTAATCTTCGATTTTAGTATGTCTAGTTGTATATCTGGAAAAAATTAACATTTCAAATGCTTGATGCGCTTAAAGATAAGTCTAACGCCACCATAAAAGTGGTAATTTCACACATTAAATTTATTATTGAATTGGAACTTGTGAGATTTATTCATTTTGAGAATACAACCACCTACGGCTTGAAGTGTAAGTAATAAATAACGCATGAGATTTACTCTCCCGCGCGTTAAATCCCGATTAGGATAATGCGCTGGCGGTGGACAATGAATCAAAATTCGCAATAAAATAAATGATAAATGTAAATGAACATGAAAAAAGCACGATGTGCAAAAAGCACTCACCTGAATGATAGCGGCTCTCATTACGGGTTAACCGCCTGTTGCCTCTTCGAAGGGCCCTCGTCGCAGGGCTAACGCCCCTTGTATCCGTCGAGCCCCCAGACCCCACAGCTATACATGCAAAACAATACACTCAGGCATGCGAAACAAATAATAATAATAATAAAAATATCATAACTTAACAATTTATAGACTATTTCGGATAATGGACGCCCAACGGTTTTATTACGAACTGAAGAGAAAGCAACAAAAAAAACATTAAAAACTATAATAAATAAACCAAGAGAAAAGTTTTAAGTTACATCTGGGCATTCCATGTTGGGATTATTCCTAGTGGAACACTATTTTGTAGTTGAAAACGTTACCGTCCCAATTGCTCACAATGCAAAAGTAGCGCATTTATTTCAATTGCCCATTAGCATCGATTGGTTATTAAATTCGCAATATTCGATATATCCGATACGGGATTTGTCGGGAATGGCGAGTACAAATTCCCGGTGCCGTAATAAAATTTAATTGGACGTTTACGGAATTATGGGCAGATTGATATCGAAATTTTGGCTTGCAACAAAACCGTTAGCGTCAAAATAAAAGAAACATTCAAGCGACAACGACACCTACAGGACAGATTGCGAATGCACATTGAAAGTATAATAATGGACGACAGACAGATTTTTAAAGCTAGTAAGCAAGTAAGCGCCAACCTGAATGATATCTCTTCTCGTTGTGCGTGACGCGTCGTTGTGTGCGTCTTCTTGTGTGCTGCTTAACGCCATTGTCGCAATTCTCGTTTGCGTTTCCGACACCGTTTCCTCCATTTCCAGCTAAACATGATTATAGAAAATGAATGCCTTAAGCGCATAATGGGTTAACATAGCAAGAAATTTATTTATAAGTGATAAGTTTTGCGATTAATTAAAGTTTATACGAATGCAACAATTAAAAACTTGACTTGAAACGAAAATAAGTGAATCGCATTTTATTTATACTTCGGGCTCGTGGCGCCCTTTTGGCAACACCTTGCCACTTGACTCTGCTTACTACACCGTAAGCGAACGGACTTTAATGATCACCCTGTACATTATGGAGTAGATAGACCTACTGATGGTTCTCGCATCTTGACTTGACCTGCTTTGTTTAAATGATGATGAAAATGACCCCCATTTCAAGCTTCAGATTCGAAGCCTCAAATTTCAAGTCTCAAAGTTTAGGTTTCATTTTTCAAAATTTTAATGTTTAAATTTCGCAGTAGACTTCCACTTTACGCTTAGATTAGCTCCAAATTTAGTCTCATGGTCAAATTCAAACAAGTTTCCATTGTCATGTTTCAAATTCAAGGCTTGAACCATTAATTCTCTCATGTTAGAATCAACAGTTCAAACGGAACGCATTTGGTTCTGCATTGAAAAGCGAAGGTGAGCGGATTCTTTCGGGACAGTCTCAAAAGTTATCTCGTAGTTTACATTCAAAGGCTTCCATTGTCATGTTTCAAATTCAAGGCTTGAACCATTAACTCTCAAATTTGAGAGTAACAGTTCAAACTGAAGGCATTTTGTTCTGAATTGAGAATCGAGCGTAAGCCGATTCTTTCGGGGCAGCCCAGTAGTTTACATTCAAGACTCCATTGTCAGGTTTCAAATTCAAGGCTTGAAACATTAATTCTCAAATTTTAGAGTACCTAAACAGGCATTTGGTTCTGGATTGAGAAGCGAGGATGAGTGGATTCTCTCGGAGCAGTCACCAAAGTTGGCTCGTAGTTTACATTCAAAACTACCATTATCTTGTTTCAAATTCAAGGCTTGAAACATTCATTCTCAAATTTCAAGGTGAACCATTCAGGGTAAAGGTATTGGATCTGCATTGAGAATGGAAGGTCAGCGAATTCTTTCGGGACACTCTGGTAGTTTACATTCAAACGCTTCCATTGATATGTTTCAAATTCAAGGCTTGAAACACTAATTCTCAAATTTTAGACTAAACAGTTCAAACTGAGGGCATTGGGTTCTGGTTTGAGAAGCGAGGATGAGTGGATTCTCTCGGATCAGTCTCCAAAGTTGCCTCGTAGTGTAAATTCAAAACTGCCATTTTCTTGTTTCAAATTCAAGGGTTGAAACATTAATTCTCAAATTTCAAAGTGAACCGTTCTGGGTAAAGGTGTTTGGATTTGGATTGAGAATCGAAGGTCAGCGGATTCTTTCGGAACAGTTTCGTAGTTTACATCCAAAGCCTCCATTTTCATGTTTGAAATTCAAGGCTTGAAACGTTAATTCTCAAATTTTAGGGTAAACAGTTCAAACTGAAGGCATTTGGTTCTGGATTGAGAATGGAGGGTGAGTGGATCTCGGAGCAGTCTCCAAAGTTATCTCGTAGTTTACATTCAAAACTGCCATTATCTTGTTTCAAATTCAAGGCTTGAAACATTAATTCTCAAATTTCAAAATGAACCGTTCAGGGTGAAGGTATCTGGATCTGGATTGAGAATCGAAGGGCAGCGGATTCTTTCGGGACAGTCTAGTAGTTTACATTCAAAGGCTTCCATTGTTATGTTTCAAATTCAAGGCTTGAAATACCAATTCTCAAATTTTAGAGTAAACAGTTCAAACTGAAGGCATTTGGTTCTGGATTGAGAATCGAGGGTGAGCGGATTGTGTGAAAGTTGTCTCATAGTTTACATTGAAAGTTGCTATCATCATGCTTCAAATTTAAGGCTTGAAACAGTTCAAACTCAAGCTCCACAATATTACTCAAGCCACCTCAAAATCGATGAGAACTTGAGGACGCCTGAACTGTGAGACTATGTTTGGAAATAATTTTGGAGTAGAAGCTTCAAGATTAAAGCTTGGATAGGGTAATTTGAGCACAATTTCAACCCAAAATTTGAGTTAAAATTCGAGCCATGAGAATAAATCTGGAAGCCTTGAATTTACACTCTAAACCTTAAACTCAACTTCAAAACTGAGTTTCATGTTTGAGATTGAATCGCGAGATTAATTCTGGATGCCTTGAAAAACAACGTTAGAGCCCAAAATTTGCAACTTGAGGATGGAAGTCTAGAATTCAATTTCTCAAAGTTTGAAGCCATAAATCAGCGTGGAACTAATTTTATCTTGCACTATTTTAGTCCTCAACCATTTAGTCCAACGGAGAAAGACGCTGTGTAACTAAAAACAATCCACTTAAAGTGCATCCACATTTTGTTAATTTTGAAAGGATACTGGAAAGTTTCCTTCCCCCCTCCATTTGCGAGGAGAGTATCACTCTAACCCTCTTCACCGGAATGCGACAGCCACGAATCGAATTGTTTTACAAAAATTGAGCATTCAGAATTAAATCTATAATAGTGCGAACCAAGTCGTAGTTCCATTAGGATTAAGGGCAAAAAAGTGTCTCTTCCGACAATCCGTTGTTGAGGTATAAGGGAATATACCCGATGACGATAAGAGGTCGAGGAGGAGGGCTATGGTTGGTAGAAATTAATTCGTTTCGTTGAGATCTTTCATTAGAGTACCATGAAGGATAAAACTAGTTGCACTCCCCCCCTCTCCTCCAGCCCGAGCTTTGATAAGACAGAAAGAAGGATAGTAGGAACGGGTCCTTTCGTTGAGACCTTTAATTAGAATACAATGAGATAAAATTAATTTTTAGAACTGGTTTCATCCTTCATGGTACTTTAATGAAAGGTCTCAACGAAAGGAATTAATTTCTACCAACCATAGCTCCTCGACTGTAAGCGGATATATTCCCTTATACCTCAAGAACGGATGGTCGGAAGAGGGTACTCGCAAAGGGCGATTGAGACGTCTGCAAGAAATATATCCATTGGTGATGTCAAAACAAAAGCTATTTCGATTAAAAACATGCGCTTAATCTGCACATGAGTTTTGCAAAATTTATACTTGTTTCATATACCAACCAATTTTTATTACATTCAAGCATTCGCATAAACATTAAACTAATTAATCGCAATGCAGTTAGTATAATGTAGTGAAAATTAAATCCCTTTAAGCGACAACATGACAATGCACGGATTTATGGTGCGTACTAAATTATGTACCAGCATTAAATCCTGGCGACTTTAAAACCTTTACGAATTGGTTTCCGCTTTGATCATAATATAAATTACATTTATAGAGAGAGCATCATTTAACAATATTTGGGTAAAGATTTTAAAATCGCCCACGAAGGATGACTGCCGTATTAATTGTAGAAGAAAATTAGTCACGGAAACACTTTTGAGTAAATTAATTCTCTTTATTACTGACTATTCAGGGTGGTCCTTCTGTAGACCCGAATCCCAATAATTTCCCCTCCTTAAAAAATGGTATACTTACTTGTATTTTGTTTAGGCACATATGGAGAAAGAAGTCTTGTTCTCTTTTTCTCGTATCCCTTTTGTGTAATATCGCCTGAAACAAACACAACGATATTAGTTACAATTATTTAAATGCCACAAGGAAAGTGGTGGCCGGGACAGTTTATGACGCCACCAAATTAACATTTGCCACTTTTATCATTTTGGCAGTAATCCAGAAAAGCGTCGCCGACTTTCCTTTCGACCCTTAAAACAGCTCGTATGTCAGTTACATGCGAAGGAGTAATTTTATTACCATATTAGATGCCTTAAAAGGTTTTATCATAAATTGCGAGGAATGAAATTAAAAGTAAAATCTACAAAAAAACCTTTATCGAAAATAATTGCCTGATGGACAACCAATTGGTTAATTACTTTAACGATTTGTACCTCATAATAAAATGTTTTAAATTCACTCGTCATTTTTTATTGAATAATTGGATATGATTGAATTTGCTAAGCGTGAAAAAGGTCTTTTTCGGCCTTACGATAAAAAACCGTGAAAATATGCAATTGCAAGGATGTTAATAATTGTAATAAACACCATGTGATGACGTTCAACTGCGGTTGATCTAGCAACTCATCTGCGGGCTGTGAAACTCCGAACGAGGGGGCAGTTATCTGTCCAAAGGGCGAGACTGCGCTAGCAATAACTCTTCAGGTTGTAATCTACGTTTCCACATATTTGATGCTTGAGGTTGCGAGAGTGAAAGCCACACACGCCATAGGTACACTTAAAGGTTTAAGATATACATCTGCTGCCCGGAGCTGTACAGTGAATCCTTTAATTTTTTTACTGAAACCTCGATTTATGACATAAAAGCTGAAAAGCATGTCGGTAGAAACTTTAAGTTGAATTTAACGTGCATGCATAATCTTAAAATTAAAATTGAGCTTGGAGCACAGTTTGAAGCTTCAACGTGGAGTCTTAGATTACCATAATCCATATTTTATTAATTTCTGGCAATTGGATTCATTTAATAATTTAGGATTCTGGAATAATCGCTTTTAACTCAGCAGGAGGATATAATTGCGTTTTTTCTTCATCTTAAGTACCGCCATTTGCATTTTCCGTCATTGAACTGTACCTTTTCTTTAGGTTTCGGCTGATATTTGTCATATTACAATTTTCATCGACAATTTGTTGCTTCACCTATACATTTTAGGTTATCAAAGAGAGGGATTACCTTTGATTTCTTCTAGGGTTTTTAATTCTTGTTTTAATTTATGTATATACAATGTGTAAACTATAAGGATGTCCAGGGAATTTGTCCGATAGGTGTTCTCACACAATCAGGGCGTTGTGCGCGGGTGCACCATCCTGTTGAAACCGACAGTTTCCAACTTTTGTTTTTTTTGTGTGCCGTACATAGTTGTATTCGTAATAAAAATTACTACTCAATACAATATGTATTTTTTTACGAGCCACATAAAAAAAATACAGTTGATGATGATTTCTTCGGAACGTCACGTTGTATTGCAAATCTCTCAACGGTACCTTGTAGAGCTCAAATAGTAGCAATGAGAAAGGGTTTCCGTGATCACCATAATAGACATCCTTAACTTGGACATAGTGTATAGTAGAACATAGAAATCAACACTAGATTATGTGCAAATAAGAAGGTCATAGTAGCTGTTGTGAGAGCCAGAAGAGAATCAGAAAGATACAGCGACCATGGTCCTAGAGTCCAAAATAAAGTTGGAACACAAAGCCACAACAAACTTCGAGAAGCGTAAGACGGCTGGCGATCAAGAGGTAGCTCAATGATTCCCAAGGAAAACTCGGAAAGAATTTGGGAAAAATTCAAAAATATAGTAATACACGGCGCCAAAAGGGCATCGCAAACAGCAAAAATAGAAAACCGACTCGATGGTGCGATAAGGAAATGATAACACAGATAAAAATAAAAGAGGAATGGAAAATGTATCTAATACAAAAAACCATACAATCAATAAAGGTGTAAAAGAGTTAATAAACCAGACAAAGAAACAAACATAGAAAGAGAAAAACGAAAACAAACAAAAATGAAAAAGCGACAAACCAAAATCTACTTTATAGACTGCTAAAAACATTTTGGAAAGAAAAAAGTTCTAATCCTAAAATATATATAAAACAACAGAGACTTAATTTTGTTGAGTATGTATGTAAAAGTATACCAAAAGTGGTTCAATATTATCTAATGTTCTGCCCGAATTCCGAAAGAAATTTAGAAGAGAAGCTGAATTGATACGAATAAGAGCTAAGAAAGAGAGGATTAAAAATAAAGATCAACAAGACTAAGATGACGCAAGCAAGAAAAGAAATAAAGAAAATATAATGTTAAACAGTAGAAACGTAGATGGGACTGGAAATGTGGGAGAAAAAATTAGCGAAAAATTACAAATTAACTCGGAATGCAGACTGTTCCTCGCGCTTTCGTAGAGTAATTGAACAAAATTCTATTCTAATTTACTTATTCTTCCGATGTATCTGTTTTTGTATCAGCAATTCATTCATAGGGAAGAAAGAAATAAGCAGGAAAACCAAAGTGGAAATACATAAAACAATGTTTAGGCTAATACTAACATATAAGAGCGAAAGCTGGGTATATTATTAAACACAACATCAGAAAACAGGAAGGGAATCAACAGAACCCATTCGAAATCAAACTGTGAGGGAAGAATTAATCGAAAAACACAATTATTGGAGAAGAAAGGCGTATCACGAACAAGAGGAGAAACAAGAATGGACAAAGTTAGTTTATACAGAAGTGTAAATATACGAGTATGTGATAGAAAGGTTATGATTAATATATCAACAAAACCAATTACAACCATGGTAGATAACTAATTGAAAAAAGAGACCCTCAATAATGACAAAAGAAGAATGGAGAATTCGAAACTTCGACGAAAACTACTCGAAAGTTTCGATTTATAACACCGCGTTTGTAATACCAAAAGTTTTAAGATTACCCCAATTTACGACCAACCCCTTTAAAACGTTAGCGCCGAACATTTCTTTTAATCCTCCGATAAAACGCCGGCAGGAAGTACATTTCTCCCCATTTCAAATTGCCCAATGCAAATTAGCTTTATTGTGATGTACAACAAGCGCGCAAAAAAAGGCAACGTAAACAAAAAGGACGCCATTTCATTTTCGTGCGAGACGTCGCCGAGTTTTGATAAGTGCCCGCCATTGAAATCAAATTTAAAAATGGCGGAAATTAATTTAACTACACAAAGTGCGTCTCGAGTACATTGTCGTTCGCGATTTCGTTTGCCGTATACGTTTCAGAAATAAGCTCATTAAATCTCTCCGAGGGAAGTATTTTTAAGGCAAAATAACAGAAATAATAAACTTTCGTCGGCGTCGTAGTCGGAAAATGTTTAAAGTTTTTGAATGCTCGAACGTAGTCAAAAGAACCAACATTGACAGAGCCGCGCGTATCGGATTTTAAGCTCTTACTTGGAAAAGTATTTGAAGTTATTTACAAAACAAACTAATAAATGCACGCGAAAATCTCGTAAAAGAGGCGCTTTGTGTGGTTTCCGATATTCTTAGTGCGAGTTTGCAACTACATCTTTTAAACCCGGAGAGACACAAACAGTGCAAGGTGTATTTCTCACCTGGGCTCGTGTTGAGATGTTTATACTGGTCCATCGTGCGCCATCTTTCCAATTTTGTAAGAATTTACCTTCTTCATTTGTTTGCGCCAGCGCCTTGTACTTTTGAAACACACTACAAACAATAGTGACAGGGTCACGCAAACCCTCATTTAAACTTAATGGGGATTTTGGTCGCGTATGATTTTTGCGCTTAATATGATTATTGGTTTGCTTGTCGTCACCTTTTGGAATTTGCACGATTCGAGATCTTCGTGTAGAAATATAGCGGCAAGATGGCGATTTTGTAATTTTGGTTGGAACATGAAAGTTGTTGCGTAATGTGAAATTGGTTAAAAATGGGGACATCCGTTTGCTTGGTTTGCAGAAAACAGATTGGAGATTGTCTGGATGTTGTTTGACGGGAATTTGACCTTTTTCTATATCAATTACTTACATTTTTTCTCCGTGAATGAAGCAGTCACGAGAGTGGTATAAACTGTAGTCAAAAATTAACTCCGTGATTGTCTTCGACATTCAACTGTAATTTCCACATATCTTGTTTTTAGTTAAATTTGCCTACAAGTCCATGTAATTTTCCAACTTGCTTTTAACAAAAGTACTTTATTGCACCAAAGATGAGTAACGTTTGTGTATTTCACCCTTTTTTAGAATCTTGGTACCTGCTTACCTGACCCATTATTCCCAAAACTTGTTTTTAACCTATAAGTTACTTCTTGAAGTTTACCTGCTACTTTTTGTGATGTTATAAATTTATGTTACGCATTCACATCATTACAAACAATTAATTTTACAACACAATTTGATATTAATTTGACGGCTGGGTTTTTTTATTGGTAAGTTCTTTTTTTTCCCAGCCTATTTCTATTTTGATTGGCGAACTACTCAAATTTGCGAGCTTTTACAATCAATAATAATTGCGATCATTATTAAACAAACTTTTCACAATTTCAGTGTTCTATTTTACGTTCCTTCCCTACTGTGCTTCAGGTCAAAGCGTTGTCTACAACTAACGTAAGGGGGTCCTGCCTTAGATGTTTGATCACGTGCCACTTTTCAAATTTAAGCGGGATCTTGTTATAGTTTTGGGGGGAATAGTCATTCGGGTGGTCATTTTTAAACGTTGCCGGGTTGACTTTATTTCCGTCTTCTTGTAGTGTGAAGTTAGTGTAGAACCTGGGGGTTAAGTACACTACCTCTACGATTTTTTTAATGTGTAGTTTTATATATATTTATTCGGGTTTTCAATTTCGAATTGCGCAGTTGTAGCAGATAAAATTCCCTGCCCGGTATATGTGTGTCGAAAGTCATAGAAGGGATAAGCGTAGTAATTTTGTTCCCCTTCTTGGTGTTCGTAACTTTTGTTTCATTCAAGGGGGAGGGGGGGTTCTTTTAATCGGCGACGTAATCAAAATCGCCTGAATTTTACAACAGCTCCCGGTATATTCAGCA